TTTTCTATAAGTGTGCAAACATGCGTATGTATTGCATGCAATGGAAGATACGAACTTGTAAATTTGTTGTCGTTTTAGATGTTAGGTCAGTTGTTACGATATATATGTAAACTTGTCATTTAAAGGCGGTAACCTTCAATTAAAAGATTGAATTAAAAGGCATACAATAAAAATGGTAGGCATACAAGTTCGCATTTTCAAAAGTCATTTTCAAAAGGAACACTTTACATGTCTGGAATTTTGGCAACGAACGCCCTCCATAGTTGGGGAGATAATGAACGGAAACTGAAAATTTCATATTATTTCAAAGTGAAAGGGGCATAACTCTGCCAAAAATCATCGAACCATGACCAAATTCAAACTTGACCTGTATTTTCTCATGACATATCCATATGTCAAGTTTGAGTTGAATGTGTTGTACCGTTGGGGAGATAATGAACGGAAACTGAAAATTTCATTTCATTTTAAAGTAAAAGGGGGCATAACTCTGCCAAAAATCATCGAACCATGACCAAATTCGAACTTGACCTGTATTTTCTCATGACATATCCATATGTCAAATTTGAGTTGAATGTGTGCAACCGTTACTAAGATAATGAACGGAAACTGATGATGACGGAATGACAGAATGACGGAATGACGGAAGGACGGAATGACGGACGGACGGAATGACGGAAGGACGGAACAGGGTAACACTATATGCCCCGGCCATTACATGGCGTGGGCATAAAAATGTGGTCAAATGTGGTTACAACAATGTTTTCAAATCAAAAACTGGTCACTTATTAAAAGACCACAAATTAAATTACACTTTTTTATGGATGAATTTAAGAAGGAGAGTATTAACGCCTTATATTGCCTCTGCAAAACAGTTTCCATGTAACGATCATTAAAACATTATGCAAATATCTTCCTGTCTGAAATATTTCCTACTTCATTCTGTCTGGGCATCCAGTTAAAACTGTTATGTACAAAAACATATGATAATAACTTAATTCTGATAGATGCCTCTGGGAATCACTATTGACGTTTTATCTTCACCATCGTTCAATACTAATAAACACTGGATATGTTATCATACTTTATTGGCATGTAAAATGTAAATGCTGAATATTACTGAATATTACAAAAAGCAGACAATAGCAGACAAATTCACGTACTTTGATATAATCTTTTCATAATTAAAAATGATAAAGCCACAAAGGAAATGAGGGTTTCATGTTTGAGAAATCACACAATAAAGTCATGTTTTGTCTTGGTGGGATATTATAAAGTAATATATAAAGAAACAAATCAATTCCAGCGAGACAAGTTTTTTACGGTCATAATGTAAGTTCATGTAGGATCTATTTTCTAGCATGAACAAACTGGAATCATACCGTGTGCCATAACTTTTACTTTGTACACATTAACCGACTGAAAATGTTTTTTAATCTTTGACTGCTTAATTTTAGCCATTATCATGCAGCAATGCTGGAACCAATTAAGCTTTTACCACCAGTATAGATCCAGGTCAGACTGCACATAATTATTATGTGTAACTTGACCAAACTCTATACTTTTGGCGGTTCAGTTTTAGCATTGCAATCATCCTGAAACTGACAATATTTCAAAATTCATAGCAAAAAGAATGGCAATGAACACCAAGCCTGCTGGCAGCAACTGATTCTACCCATGCTACCAGGGCAGACCAAGATCAGCTGGCACTTCCATTTTACTATGTATTTTAAAAATTTTCATAAAAATAATGAATGGTTGAATGATGGACAGGTCTATTTAACCCTTTCCCCCATGAGCATATCGTGAAAAATGGCCGTTTTCACTGAAAAGCCTCCTGTTACAAGTTCAAACTGCTATGAAACTATGAAAAATGCTTCAATACTAATCAAACTTGGCACAAATGTTGACTGGACCATTGCCTTTGTAACAACATGCTCAGTCTTAAAAATTCCTGTTACCATGGCAACGAGGGGACATCTCAAAATTGCCAAAAATCACTATTTTGCCTCGATTTTTTTTCCATCAAAATTTATTTCAAAAGTGCTGCAACTTCTCAAGGGATTGAGATAGAGTCAAAGGCTTTTCAGCGTTGGTCAAACGTTACATTATGATTGACCTGGGGTCATTTTTAGCCTCTCACAAGTCCAAAATTTTCTTGGCGATGAGGGGGACTCCGCCCCCCTTCAAACCCCCCCTAACAGAAGGGGGCACATCCCCCTTCTGGCAACCCCCTGATGTATCTTTTGGATGGGGGGCGGCGCCGAAAAAGTGCTCAATTTTTTTAGCAACATTTCTCAAACGAAAACTTATGTTTAGGGCCCAAATAGGACATTTTTTCACTATTTGAGGCCCCAAAAAGGGGGGGGGGGTCGAAAGTGCGTTGTTTCGCGTATATATGTGGTAAAGGGTTAAGATATTTAGGACAAAAAGTAATTTTCTCTACCAATTGGCAACAAAAAGTGGCAAAATCAAAAATTATAAATTTCAAAATTATGCCCCTTGTCTTACAACTGCCTCTTGTCCAAGCATTCCATGTTTCATGTTGATATCTCTACCATTAAAATTGTTTTGGCTACATTCAAATTTATGCACGACCACAACAACTACATGGAAATCATAATAGCTTGACTTTTTGAGACAGACAAATTAAAATAGCACATTTATTGCAATACAGTCTTACATATTTTCCTACCAGAATCAGACATTATGAGTGTTGTGTCACATCAAGTTATAAGTCTATTTGGTATGAATATTGTAATAATGCACGGCACTACATTGACTGTAGGACATATATTACTTATGAAAGATGACATTAATAATCATCATCCTATTATACAGCTGACCTCTCAGAGATTACTGTCACTTTAATTATGTATAATATTTATATATTAATAGGATTACATTAATATCTGACTAAAGCTCCAACAGTAACAATAGCCATATAATCCTATTCTACAAAATCTCTAATAACAACATTACAATATCTATGAAACATTGATTCTAGAAAATACCTTGCAACTCAGACAGTAGATTTTTTTTTTGGTTTTGTTTGCAACTCAGACAGTAGATTTTTTTTTTTTTTTTGTTTGCAACTCAGACAGTAGATTTTTTTTGGGGTTTGTTTTACATTGCACCAACACATTATAGGTCATATGGGAACTTTCTAGCTTTACTGATGGAGGAAGACCTCAGGTGTCCCTTTGTGCATTATTTCAGGCAAGAGCAGACATCCGAGTAGAACCACAGACGATCAACCTAGTCAGACAGCTTTCTCACAATAAGTAGTTCTAGACTTAAATTTGTTGGTCATGATGACATTGTGAAGCTAAACGAAAATTTATCACTCCATCTGGTTTATGATGTTATTCTCTCTTAGAGTTCTATTATAACAATAACTTTAACATATTTATAATTTTAGTTTGGTTGCAATGAAAGTTAAGAGCTTCGTTATATGAACCAATCTCAAGTCTGCTTCCTGGAACTAACCAATATTGGTGTCATATGAAGAATCATGGTTATAGCCCCAGTATGGCTTGAACCCAAGATTGAGATTGGATAGAGAGACACCTTAACCACTAGGCCATGTTAGCATTTTGATACTGACAGTTTTACTTAAAACTAAAAATGATCTCGATGAAAAAAAAATGTGAAAACACACACCTTTTGTTTAGTGACTGTGGTTGAACCATAATAATCTCTTTTAACCGAGCTATCTTTACTAACCGGGTGAACTTGTGAGTTGTCTGCAACTATTAATCCTGTTCTATCAATCAAACTGAAATTAAACAAGCATTAATATTTGAAATATATCAGATATAGGCACTGAATTATATCTAAAAATTTATGTAACACTGAATACATGAAATGTGTCAATAGAAGACAGATGCTCCCACATTCCACTGTTTTGTAACACCCCAGTTACACAGAGCCATCGGTGATTGATCGGTAGTTTTTTTTACCAAATTATGGAGTGAACCGATGACAACGTATTTAACACCGATATCACCTATTGGTCACCTGTTTTCCACCTATCAACTGCTATTGGGGAAAGATAAGTTTTATCGGTGAAAAATTACCGATTGGGATTTTTAAACATGTTTAAATTTCTTGATCGGTGAAAATATTTTACAAATAACCGACAGCAACCTATATCACGAGATATGCAAGCTCTTAATCACCAATATCGCCGATCAGACAAAGATAACCAAATATGAATCACCGGCCATATCTGACGGAAAGTGTTTAACCACTGATGACTAGCTATCAAACACCGATTAATCAGCGTTACGCCCGATTTAGCTCCTATTTACAAACGATAAAAACCGATAGTATTTCAGCATTTTTATCACCGATCCAACCCTGTTTGAGTTTTGCTTTCTCTTACCAATGGCCGTTTACACAGAAAACCAGAAATAAAATCACGCATGACAACCGATCATAACAGCAAGTAAATTTAAAATTAAATGACCGATTGGGGACCGGCCGTCTGTGTAACTGGCCCTTAAGTCTATGAATAACTTACTAGCATGACAGCTGAACGGTTATACATAAATCTGTATGCCCCATAACCCCCACACCCAGTAGTGGATGCATATTTATTATAAACAAAAGCTGTCGGTAGGACAGCAACGCTCGACTATTCTTAGTGCTTGATAGTAAAAAAAATGCTTGATACAGTTACCTCCTCCTGTTTACAGGTTGGGGTCATGATGGTGAACAAGTGTGCAAAGTTTCAAAGCCATATGTCAATGGACTTTGAAAATATTTGAACTATTACAAAAACTTTAACGTAAATTCTAAGTCGAAAAAGGGGCATAATTCTGTCAAAATGCTTGATAGAGTTACCTTCTCCTGTCTACAGGTTGGGGTCATGATGGTGAACAAGTGTGCAAAGTTTCAAAGCCATATGTCAATGGACTTTGAAAATATTTGAACTATTACAAAAACTTTAACGTAAATTCTAAGTCGAAAAAGGGGCATAATTCTGTCAAAATGCTTGATAGAGTTACCTCCTCCTGTCTACAGGTTGGGGTCATGATGGTGAACAAGTGTGCAAAGTTTCAAAGCCATATGTCAATGGACTTTGAAAATATTTGAACTATTACAAAAACTTTAACATAAGTGGTTACGCCGACGCCGACGCCGACGCTCGGGTGACTGCAATAGCTCTACTTATTCTTATCGAATAGTCGAGCTAAAAAGGGGCATAATTCTGTCAAAATGCTTGATAGAGTTACCTCCTCCTGTCTACAGGTTGGGGTCATGATGGTGAACAAGTGTGCAAAGTTTCAAAGCCATATGTCAATGGACTTTGAAAATATTTGAACTATTACAAAAACTTTAACATAAGTGGTTACGCCGACGCGGACGCCGACGCCGACGCTCGGGTGACTGCAATAGCTCTACTTATTCTTATCGAATAGTCGAGCTAAAAAATACAGAATACTGTATGCCCTCTGAAAGATAACTTATGTTTCATTGAACAGATTACAGAGGTTTTTAAACCTGGCTATGAACAAACAGCTGATCTATTTCACTTAGCAACAAGCTTATTAAACTTTAGCATCAATTTATTCCTCACAATTTCACAAACATAGAAGAAACATAGGGATAACATATAACAGTCTTACCTTGGTGGATTTGGTCCACATAAAACACTTGTACAATTTTTGAATATAGAACCATGACTGTAAGGATTAAAATTTTCTTGATTTCTTTTAGATGAAAATGAGCCTTTTATCTGAAACAAATAAGACAGAGAGATATCAGGTACATGTAACCTCAAATATATTTATTTAATTTTTCTTCCTCTAAACATGAAATACAAACTATCTGGTTAAGAAATACTCTCCCATAAGAAGATTAACAAAATCATTGTCAGTAGCTGTGTATAAAAATATTTGTTTGTTCTTTTTTTTAGAACGGATATATAACTAGGTTATTACATCAAAACTACAAAACAATCATCTTGGAAATAACTGTTACAGTAAATTACAGTAACTAATATTTTCAGTTTAATAAACTTGTCAGTTTTAATCTTAAGAGATTGTAGAAAATTCCAAATTAATTCAAATAATCGCCATGGGTATATTAGATAGCAAAGTTTTTCTCCTATTATCTTAACTAGGCTTTTCCCTGAAGGGTTTTTTTTTTCTGAATAAACCTAGAAATAATACATATATATCAAATTCACAACCAAAAATAATACAAAATTCGAAAAAAGAATTTAAGCGTGGTGTTTCGTTACATCACTATTGTCTAATGACCTTCTAGAAAATTGTAATACCAAACTTATGGAAAACAAATATCTGTTTATTTATGATATTGTATTTAAAAATTGAAGAACTGATATGAGATGAAATTCAACTTTAATTGTAAGAAAATACTGGTGCCTTTTGCTGGAAGAGAAAGTTCTATACATTGTATTTAAAGAAATTTTTAAAGGCATCTAATTACAATAATATGCAACCAAATCATTGCAGTGAATATTTAATACTTCTTGCCTATGTCACCAGTAATGTGCCAAATCAATCTTCAAGTCTGCACTTTCTCTTTACAATTGATAACTTATTTTAAAGGATTAAACCCCCAGGAACCAAGTGATAAGCATCTGCCATCAATATAAAGCCAGGTCTGCCTGTAACTGCCCTGCAGTCTGATCAGGCTCTATACTGGTAAAAGCTCAACTTTATATTTTTTGATTTCAAAATACCATAAATTTTGAACGGACTGTTCCTAATTCAAGTCTAGGCAAGTTCTTTACACAAACTAAGAAAGTTAAATGTTTTAAGCATTACGTATTGAAATCTGTCAAAATAAATATATAAAGTTCAAAAAAAGGTCTAAAGCATGACAAAGTTTGAAGTCCAATTCATAAGTTCAATAAAATTGTGATTTTAACCAAAAAATCTTTAACATTAAGTATATAAAGATGGCATTTTATTCTTACTGTTAATTGTACCATACTGTTCACTTATGTTATTTGTTTATTTAAAGACTATTTTGATGCAATAAAGTTCACTATGACATAAATGCTCAATAATATATGAAAACATTCAAGTATAAACACAAAAATTAAAGTTGGAGAAGCTTCAGTAGCAGTTAACTAGACTTTAAGGCTATACAATTAACAAAAATAGTCAATTGCTTAATTATTTATTTCTAAAATCATCAATCTGGCTTTTTGCAAAGAAAGACTGCACTCAAAATCAGACAAAAACCACCACCAATGATACCAAAATAGGAAGTATAGATTCTGGTACATTCATTATACTGAGAACAAGAATAGAACAAGTAACAAATTGATAAATGCCAAAAGACCAAAAATCTTTCCAACAACCTGCCATGTACCAACTATGGCTGTTAAAACTGTGTCTATATTTGATTGGAAATTTTTTAACCCTTCCAATGGCAAAGAAGCCAAAATAATAGATGTGTGATTACGGTAAGGAAGCCAAAAGAATTAACCTGTGGCTGAAACAGAACTTTTTTTGCAGACTACTTACATATATAAAAAGGCACCAATGGTTAAATTTTAACTCTAAATTTGTGTAATGAATTATTACACTTCTTTGAATTTAGAACAACCCACTCAGTTTAAATATTAAAATACAAACATTGAGCTACCATCTGTATAGAGCCTGATATAAAACTACATGGAAGTGCAGAATGGCAAAATACTGGGGTAAAGGCTAATTGCTTTTGTGTCCAGCAGGGTGTGTTTAGAGCTCAGTATTGTCTGTTAAAATGAGCAATCTGAAAATTCTTGCAAATTCAGGTAAATTCTTGCAAATTTTCAGGTACATTGTATATGTACTAGTATAAGAGTTTTGTTTTTGTCATAATAAAATTTCTTTTTGCACAAATTGCATTTTCACTCTTTCCTAATAAATTTTTAATATTGCTTTCATAACACAAAAAGAGCTGATTGTAGGACTGAGTTTGACTATTCTCAGTGTTTGATAGTAAAACAAGACCCTGGATTATGTCAATTAAACAAGAGCCTGGATAATGTAGAATTTTCAAAAGTTCAAAATGGGCAATAATTCAGTCAAAATCCAGGTGAGAGTTATGGGTCTTGGACAGTGACCTCTTATTATGCTCTCAAAAAAGTGACTGAAGTTTAAAGCCATTCCCTTCAATGGTTTTGGAGATACTAACTTGCATGTACAAACTTATCAAAGTGTGATGCAGAATTGCTGAGGTCAACCCTGGCCGAGTACAACTGCTTATTTGTCAAAGAGTTGAATCTTAAATTTAGTGGCAATGAAAATTATTCTAAATCTGAGAAATAAACACTTATCTAAGCAACTAAATTTCTCTGCTCAATTGCAGATTTTGTGTATATTGCGAGGAAAATAACATTGTCCACTCTACTGGCCAGACACTGATCATGATGGATTACGATTTATTAGAAATTAAACATTCTCCAGGGTATAACAGGACATGATCTGATGATGTCTGGCATTTGTAATCAATCAAGTAATAAAATGTCTCTATTTTATACATTGTTGTCTTGTATGTTTGTTAGGTTTAGAATCTTTAACAATAACTCTGCAGTTTTATCAAAAAGCAGTAACTTGAACATTGTTAAGTGTTTTTCAGATTCAGCACCAATACTAGCCTGGGCTACTAACAAATAAAATTTAACTTTTCAAAAGATGAACCAGCAATGGAAGATAAATGGCCTGACATGATGTACTGTTTATCACTGTACAACTAGAGGCTTGAACATCTCATAATTCTGATGTCAATTGACATACAGTACAACCAACTCTTTGTCTTCTAAAGTAATTAGGTACATTTTTTGTCTGCAACAGATTCCTGTAGCCTTTGTATAGTATAAAATAGTCTCAAGTAGATAATAATGATGCTTGTTTAAAATACCCCTTCATAAAATGAAGGTGTCACAAAAGTCTAAGAAGTAATAATGACCAGTCTTATAAATACAGAGCTAGCCTGCAGCCTACACACCATGTTTGGCCTTGCAGAATAATACTAATATTAGTATTTGGATACTTAAGTTATCAAATTACTCATAAAACAGTTCAAAATTCAAAACTTAACAAGAAATTTACACAAATTCAGTAGGGCAAGGTTTAATACTGCCATTTTAATAAGTTTGTTTTCCTAACAAGTAAGCCACAGCAAAATTTTCAAGACAATATTTCCATTTTGAATAATGAGCTAATAACATGGAGCTTTAACAACCACAGAAAATTTCTAATTAACATTCTGAGATATTTGTTTTTGAGGAAAGTATCATGTTTCTTGTAATATCTCCCCCTTTATGAGAGACACTTAATGTTACATGTGTATATATCAAATTCTAAAAATGCATTTATTTTATTTTTATTATTTTTGGATTATCTTTTTTTATCAATTTGCACTGGCTTATAGTGACTAAAGGACAGTTTTATATGAGAATATTCAATTCTATCTATCCATTATTCAGTACATAAAAGTAATTATATTTATGTTACATTTTAACAAGAATCAATACTACTGTACTCTGTAATGAAACAATGGTCCTTGGTTCATAAAAGTGCAATATAACTTTGTGGTAAACAATGTGTCATACCAAAATAATTTGGTGGCTTTTTTAAACTACTCAACTTCTCTAAGCACCAAGGCCATATTAATAAATTAAAATAAGGGCAATAATAAAAAGAAAGATGTTAATATTCTTTTTAAATATAATTTAACTTTAAATGACTTTAGAATACAGACACTTTGATCTGTTTGGGTCATTTTTCTCCTATCAATTGTGTTTGCCAACTAACACTGCCTTAGGTAACTTGGCAATTTTCTTGAGTGAAGACCAAAAGTATGTCCAGTAAATCCAGTATATCATATAAGTGAAGAAAGACACTTGGGTAAACCCACCAACTCTTGTGCAAGCTAGCTGAATAATACCCCACATGACAGAATTCAACATGCTCAGCAGATTTTGAACCTATCACATGCACAATAGCGACATAGGGAGAGACTTTTAGATGTCTTAGTAACAAGAGCTGTCTAAACAACCATAAACAAGAGGGCCATGATGGCCCTGAGGTCGCTCACCTGTATATAGCTCCCCACCCCCCCCCCCCCCCCCCGGCAGGGACAATTTTAACCCAAGGGCTTTTATTTGAACAAACCTGGTAGACACCCATAAGAAGATGTTTCATGCTAACCATCTAAGCTCTATTTCATTGGGTTTTTAAAAGAAGATTTTTAAGTTTTTACTACACACATATAGTTAAAACAATGACACCCCTGGGGCGGGGCCAGTTTTGACCCCAGGGCTTTTATTTGAACAATCTTTGTAGACACTTACTAGAAGATGTTTAATGCTTAATATCTAAACTCTAGCTATTTGGGTTTTTTAAAAGAAGATTTTCAAGTTTTTGCTATACACATATATGGAAAATCAATGACCCCCGGGGCGGGGCCAATTTTGACCCCAGGACTTTTATTTGAACAAACTTGGTAGAAACTCACTAGAAAATGTTTCATGCTTAATATCTAAACTCTAGCTATTTGGCTTTTTTCAAAGAAGATTTTTTAAGTTTTTGCTATACACATATAAGGAATATCAATGACCCCCTGGGGCCAATTTTGACCCCAGTGCTTTTATTTGAACAAACTTGGTAGACACCCATTAGAACATGTTTCATGCTAAATATCTTACATGTAGCTCTAGCTCTTTGGGTTCTTTAAAAGGAGATTTTTTAAGTTTTTACTATATGCATATAGGGAAAATCAATGACCCCCTGGGGCCGGGCCAACTTTGACCCCAGGGCTTTTATTTGAACAAACTTGGTAGACACTTACTAGAAGATGTTTCATGCCGAATATCTAAGCTCTAGCTCTTAGGGTTTTTTTAAAAGAAGATATTTCAAGTTTTTTCTTTCGGTTGCCATGGCAACCAGAGTTCTGCATGGAATTAAATTCTTTGAACAATTTTTAAAGGTGACCACCAAAGGAACATTCCTGTGAAGTTTGGATGAAATTAGCTTAGTGGTTTATGAGGAGATGTCATTTAAAGTAAAAGTTTACGGACGACGGACAGACGAAAAGCAATCACAAAAGCTCACCCTGTCACTTTCTGACAGGTGAGCTAAAAAGGGGCATAACTCTGTAAATAGGTAATTCAGAGTTATGGGATCTGTGCCCATTATATCAGATAATCACAGAGAACTGTGCCCATTATATCGGATAATCACAGAGAACATTAGTGTGTGAAGTCTCAACCCATCACCTTCAGTGGTTTTGGAGACACCAACTTGCACGCAAAAACTTAACCAAAGTGTGATGGCAACACTTGAAGGCGAGTACTATACCTCTTCCTATTCTTTGAATAGACAAACTAAAAACTATAAACATAAAACTGTATCATGTGACCACACTGGGTTTTACTTACATCTTCATTTGTAGTTTGCTGTGATGATACAAGATAGGTATGGAATCCTGTAAGTCCTACCACAGACCAGACAGAGAAAAAACATATAATGATTTCTATCACAGTGAAATACAGTCAAGGCAAATAAATAAATCAAACTGCACAATAACAACAACATCGAAATTGAAACAATAAATCAAAACGTAGATATATATCATTCAGGATGAATTGTCAATTGAAGTTATTGCAATTCTGTTTTTGTATGCAACATTAGAACGCATTAATTAAAACTTATTGATTTACGGAGGGCAAACCTTACTGACTTGGAACATAATCTGCATCTTCAATGAATGAAATAAATCATCTACGATATGAAATATAAAATCTTTACTAGCAAGTCTGATTATGGTGACAGCAGAGAACTGTATAAATTAACCTTTACCACAGTAAATATCTTATATGGCATGTAAATCTTTCAATCTGGACAAAACCAGTCATCATATTCAGGAAAAATTCAAAATATATATTGACTGAATAGTGAACATTGCAGGTCAGGTCTTGGTCCACAATCTGATCTTGCTTTGTACTAAATGTTGCCCTTAGCAGGCTCAGGGTTTAGTAACAATTCTTTATCATGCTTACAAAATTTTATATTACCGTCAAGCAATTTCATTTACTGAAAATGTATCTTATGTCCATTAACATATCCATAATGCATTGGATTTGTATTTGTCTTATCAATTCATCTACAAAATACAAATGTATATCATGGCACAGTATAATGACTTCTTCAACTGACAAGATATCCTTAACAGTGTGTACATTAGAAATAAAAAATAAAACTTCTTAGCATGACAAAAATAATCAAGGTAAAAACAAAATAGGACTGTCATCATTCTGTTAAATGCAAATAATAATTATGCCCTTCAATATTTTTTTTTCCACTAATGGAGAATTTTCTGTATCTTTTATGACAAGAAATAAATGTTTTTACCTAAAGGTATTTATGACTTTACAGAGCCTAATTGGCTATTTATTACAGACATTTTCAAGCTCAACATTTGAGACAAGAACGTGATCTTTATGTTCCAGGAGAACTTTATAATCAGGATTATAATTAGCTTGATACACATTGCATAATTTGTTTCTGTGTCAAAATTTAAAGAAACAAAGTACTAAAAAAAATTAAGACATTAAAAAATGTTCCCAGCTGCAGAGAATATTAATGCAAAATATTTTCATATTTGATAAATAAAGAAACCAATAAATGCACAATAACCAAATAAAGCAAAATCATAATATAAAAGCAGGGTAAAATAAAGCAGTAAGCCAACAAAGTGTTGCTATGACAACAATATGACTCACATCCTCATTAGTTGTTTGCTCGCTGGCTGCCAGGTAGGTATGAAACCCAGCCAGGCCAATTATAGACCACACAGAAAAGAAACAAATAATTGCCTCAACAATAGTTAGTTCTGTTAAGGAGATAACATTAGTACTTGATGCAAATTATTTACCATAAAAGCATGGAGACTCTTATAATAAGAATAATTAAAACTAACACAAATAGAGAAAAAAAAATCTCACTGGAACATCAAGTCATTATCTCAAGTTAATAGTAAAATTATAGTTACATGTTTTAAAACGTGAGGACAAAGTTAGTAGAGCTTTTAAGTTATTTGCTTCTGAGAAACCAAATTTGATAACAAAGAAAAAATAATTAGTCAAAAATTCACAAATAGAAAAAAAGAGTAAATCTATTGGAATTAAGGTATTTTTTTATTTTTTAGAAATTTCCATTATTATACAATGTCATTATTTTACTTAAAAGCTGAAAAAATGTCTTAGGCCTAAACATATCATCTTACATAAAAATGCCCTTAAGTCTTCAGAAATACGTATATCATGAGATAAGAAAATATTCTATAAAAAGATGAAATACAAAATGTCAAGATAAGAGATTTCCGATCAATACTGGTTGAAATCTTTTCTAACATTGTGCCTATGATGGCAATATTAAGTAACCCATTTACATAATCTCCCAATCTTGCTAATACATCTAGTTTCAGGCATTTTCTTGCTTGCTTTCAGTTTACATTGTACAATGAAACTAAGAAACAGAAGTTTTAAAAAAAGTTACTGTAATCGGAATGTCTATATATATATATATATATATATATATATAATTATATGGATAAAGAAAAATTTTAAGAAGGTGGCCAAATCTTCTTTTTAAAAGTACATTGTATTTATTTTGTTGAAGCATAATTAACTTGACCAATTTATTTCTAAGTTTGGAAACAGATCCCATTTTGAACAACTGTAAAAAAAATAGTTTTCTAATTGCCTTCAGAATACGTCAAATGTCAATATATCTAGCAAAACTTCAGGCAATGACGTTTCTAAATAAGGCTCACAAAAATGGTTGGCAATCATTCAGTACTTCTGAAGCAGACGTTTTAAATTGAGCTGGCTTTTAACTAAAGTTATTCTCAAGATCATTAACAAAATTGCAGTTAAAATGAGCTTTAAATGTTCATCTAAAATAATCAATTCAATGTTGCTGTTCAAATAAGGTTTTAATGTCTGAAGTTTAGGAGAGATTCAATACAAATGATATTTCAAGCTCAAATTTCAATTAGACAGAAAAAAATTTATTTAACAAGAGCATATCATGTGATTATCACATTACACTCGTTTGTTAAGGGCAATGACAAAAATATTCACAAGTGATATGGCTGTTACACACTTCACTTTTCAATTGATGAATAACTTTTTGAATGTTTATGTTCAAAATACTGCTATTTATACAAAAGTTTGGTCATTCTACATGTGAAAAAGGACATAACTCTGGAAAGACTTATCACTTAGTTATAGCCCTTGTCCTACAGGAAATGCCTTGTCCATATTAGCAACTATGCCAAGAATAAGTACAGTATCTTTCATAGTATAAATAACAAAATTTTAAAAAAATCAAAATTTGAAAAGGGGAATAACCCCAAGTAATATATATTTCTAAATAATGTCCCTAGTGTTACAACTTCATCTTGCCATAATAATCAAGAAATCAAGTTTCAAGCTGTTACCTTTGATGGTTTTCAAATCATTATATAATATACTTTGAAAGCAATTTTGTCAAATATTTCTAAGATAAAAAGGGGCATAACTCCAAAACGGCTTTTAGAATAATAAACGTTGTATTACAACTTTAACTTATAATGATAAGCAAGTACTTACTATTCCAAGTTTCATATTGATACCTTTAAAAGTTTTTGAATAATAGGCTACATCAAAGTTTGTTCATAACAATTACAACAGCAACAACCCAGTGATTGTAACGAGTAGAATTTTTCTTCTAAACAGCCTGAAGCTCAAAATGAGATGTAGAATTTTGGATAATGAAAAAAGATGTGTATTTACAAACAGACAGGCAGATAAGACAGAAGTCTTGCTAAGAACTAATCAATATGAAAGGATATCTAGCTGGAGAATCTCTCATTGCATGAAGGAAATTATCAGCTTGGGAACCTGCAATATAAACATAATCATTGATTAATTCCCTAACAATCTTCAAAAACATAAAACAAGTTCAGCAAATATTTATATATATAATTTACAAGATGGTATTTGTTTGGAGGCTTGCTTGATTGTTATGTTCTATGTGGAAACTGTCTTTGTCTACGAGACCATTATTTTAGTACTTTATATCTCTGTGCCGTCATCTTCCCTAGTCCTGTGAGACAACTTATTCTAATGCCCTAATTAATTCTCTAAATTAAATACTGCAATAAAGTCAATGCAAGGGGATATATTGGCAAAAATGAGGATCAATGTTTCAAGGTTCAGATATCGTTTGTTTTCATTGCAGTTAAGTTTAATAGAAATCACAATATACTGTTACAGCCTCTACGTTGGATCATGCACAAGCTAGGCCTACACAATTTCGCTAAGTTTTATTATATTACTCTCAAGGGAATTGTATTTCAAAATTGAAAAAAAATATTTTTAAGAGAAGCAATTTCAAATTGATTGTATGCTAGTGGATAGTGAAAATGTCAATATAAAAGTTTTTTTCTAAGTTGATATTCATGCTACAATATTTTTAGACAATAAATTTAGATTTATGGTTGGAAATCTTTTTTGAGATACTTTACAGTGAATTTATGACAATCATATTCTATACACTTCATTGAATATGTATATCATAAAGGGTATCATTAACATACAGATATATATCTTTTTAATATTGACATACATGTGAAAGAAACGGACAGAAAACTTGAGATTTCATATTGATAATAATATAGTGGCCAAGAAAAACCTGGCAATAGATTTCTCAGACTCTCTAATAATTCTGGACCACTGACAACATTAATTTAAGAAGTAAATCTAATAACCAAGTCTATATCTAATCTATTAGACTGATAGGTGACTTTATATTAGTAAAGTGGACAGCCATTTCCCTAGCTTCAACCCTAATCAAATTTGATTCTTTGCATTTCTTACAGCTAAAAGATAAGAAATAAATGGACACAAGTCAGCACAAAAGCAAATTGAGTTACTGTACAGTATATGTTCTGTTCCATCTTTTAAAGAAAACATTACAACATTCATGATTAAGAATCTTCATTTCATTTATATTTCCTGTATCTGTGTTTAAATGTCATACATATATATTAACAGTTTTCAGGTATTATAGCCAGTTTTCTGCTTCAATGTTGCGGCAATGAATTCTGGCAAAAGGGACTACTACAGACCATCTGTAACCTAGCAGCAGCTTTCTAGCTTTATTCAAACCCTCAACAGTGAGGTCCAAATTATTCAGTCAGAAACCTGAACCACATTACCACTGAGGCTAAAATATACATGTTCATGTATTCTAAACAAGGAATTTGGGTTTCATAAAGAAACTTATTATTATAGGTACATGTATACATTTAGAATTTCAGGAAAATATATATCGTGACACAAAGCAGTCTGAAGACATAAATTTTGTACTTTTCAAAGCATATGAAAACAGTATTCATATTATGATATATATGAAAATAATGACTTCAAATACCCAATTTATACCACACCATTGATTATTATAATCAATTATTTATATTGAATATTGATATATTTAAGTCAGTGATATTTGTAGCTTACACAATAAAATTTCTGAATAAAACCTCTAAGAATTCATTTTTAATAATGTAAACTACGTGTAAGTTTGGCCATAGAAAATCAATGAGCTCAAATTCCTCCAAAGTATAAATTATGCAATAAGTACAATCAAGCTAAATGTACATGTTTCCTAATTTTCCCGGAGTATTACTTGCAATGAAAATTCAATTATCTCTAAACAATAATGTGCATTGTCAGCTTAAGTCTAGTATTATATCTGTTTATCAAAACATCATCTTCATATTGATATGATAATGTGTAAGATCAATTTCAGGATATACTATGATAATACAGCATGCTTTCTTAAAAGATTTTTTTCTACTTTCTTTTCGACCTCTCTCCAAAGCATCAGGTGGTTAGAATCTCGGCAAAGTCATTTAGATACAGGCTTTTAATGGTTTTTGGCTTTTTTTTTTTACAATAATTTTTATAATACAATTATTTTTATAAAATATCTTTACATCATAATTCTGTTACTCCAGTGTACAAGTACAGTGTACTATTTGAAAGCTATTCTATAATAAACAAGAGGGCCATCATGGCCCTGAGGTCGCTCACCTGTATAAAGCCCCCCAGAGCAGGGCCAGTTTAAACCCCAGGGCTTTTATTTGAACTAACTTGGAAGACACTCATTAGAAGATGTTTCACGATGTTAAGTTTTTACTACACACATATAATGAAAAACAATGATTTCCCCGCCTCCCCCACCCTGTTATCCACCCCCCCGGCAGGGCCAATTTTCACCCGAGGGCTTGTATTTGAACAAACTTAGTAGACACCCATAAGAAGATGTTTCATGCTAAACATCTAAGCTCTAGCTCATTGGGTTTTTTAAAAGAAGATTTTTTAAGTTTTTACTATACACATATAGTTAAAAACAATGACACCCCTGGGGCGGGGCCAGTTTTGACCCCAGGGCTTTTATTTGAACAAACTTTGTAGACTCTTACTAGAAGATATTTCATGCTTAATATTTAAACTCTAGCTATTTGGGTTTTTTCAAAGAAGATTTTTAAGATTTTGCTATACACATATAAGGAAAAACAATGACCCCCAGGGCGTGGCCAATTTTGACCCAAGGGCTTTTATTTGAACAAACTTGGTAGACACCCATTAGAACATGTTTCATGCTAAATATCTTAGCTCTAGCTCTTTGAGATCTTTAAAAGAATATTTTTTAAGTTTTTACTATATGCATATAGGGAAAATCAATGACCCCATTGGGCGGGACCAATTTTGACCCCAGGGCTTTTATTTGAACAAACTTTATAGACACTCATTAGAAGATGTTTCATGCTGAATATCTTAGCTCTAGCTCTTTGGGTTCTTTAAAAGAAGATTTTTTAAGTTTTTACTATATGCATATAGGGAAAATCAATGACCCCCTGGGGCGGGGCCAATTTTGACCCCAGGGATTTTATTTGAACAAACTTGGTAGACACTCCCTAGAAGATGTTTCATGTCAAATATCTAAGCTCTAGCTCTTAGGGTTTTTTAAAAGAAGATATTTAAAGTTTTTTCTTTCCGTTGCCATGGCAACCAGAGTTCTGCATGGAATTAAATTCTTTGAACAATTTTTAAAGGTGACCACCAAAGGAACATTCCTGTGAAGTTTGGATAAAATTGGCTTAGTGGTTTATGAGGAGATGTCATTTAAGGACGGACGCCGAACGGACGCAGGACGAAAAGCGATCACAAAAGCTCACCCTGTCACTTTGTGACAGATGAGCTAAAAATTTCTTAAATAAAATGAATAGTACTCACGTAAAATTAAATGTGTGAGAACACAGGCGAAAATATAAATACACAGTATGGATAATGACAATATGAACAAGTAAAAGTAGCGATAATTCCGCTTTCCAACACAGTTCCCTAACCATGGACAGTGGTGGTCGAAACGCTCTGAAAATATTCAAATACAAAAAGTTATTAAATGACATTGTCAAAGAAGTTCAGAAATATATATAGAAATATAGAAAGATATAAAAAATTTACATCTAATTGATAACAAACAGTTCCAGCAAAGAAGGCATGAAAAGTTAATTTAATATGTCGCACCAACATTATAGTACAGATTATATGGTGACTTTCCAGCTTTATTATTAAGGTGAAGGAAGACCCCAGGTGCCCTTCCATGCATTATTTTAGGCATGAATGGGCACTTGAGTTAGTGAAAACCACAGATGTTCCGTAATCTAGCTGGATAGCTTCCTCACATGAAAGAATCTTAAGTCTCTTCAATGTCAGGATTCCAATTCACAGCAGTGAGATTTAACTGGTTTGAAGTCAACAAACTTTAAGGCTGAACCAATAAAATTTACATATAAGTATGATAAATAAATAATATTACACATAATATATATCTATGTGCTCTTAAACTATAAGATATATAACTTATAATAATGGGGTTGGTTTCAATACAAACAACTGAATCAAATCATTCAATCTAGAATAAAACATAAATATCAATATAACTATCTTCAATTCTTTAATTTCATGTTTGTATTCCTTTCACCTTCTTTTATTTTCCACAGAAAATTTCAAGAAAAATGATGCCAGAACAATAAATGTCAAAACTACAAGTAAGTATTGATGAAAGGTAATGACATGGACTTTATATGAGGATATAAAAGAAATATGACAAAATGTCCAAGCTTTATGGTATAAATTGATTTACTAGGAATATTTGTCATGACATTATAGATTCAGATTCTATGTCTACTTTGTCTAGCCATAAAAATACCATATATGACCTCATTCCTATAGCTTGATGACTCATTATTGTGCAGCTCTTGTAACTGGGTAGTAAAGGTGAAATTGCTTATTCCCCAATGAAATGTATTGATTTATACAAGTCATTTCTCAGAGTATTTTATTGATGTAACTTATTCGTTAAGTCTTGTATTTTTAATCAAAGTTCACTGAGGCATAACCAGGGTTCTCACTAGGACTTTAAAACATGGAGTCCATGGACTCCCAACCCTGAAAAAGTTGGAGTCCAAAAGCGCGTCGCAATTAATGTTTACAGATTAGTCATTCAATGTTCACAATAGCATTGCTGATATTTTGAATCTTCATGGGACTCCAATATTCAAAAGAAACTCTGAAATACATAGTATAATTATTGTTTTGTTGTTAATATTGAATTAAAATATTGTTGAAATATTAATTATGAAATTATTTCATTATAATGCATCAACACAGGGAAATCGTTTTTTTTTTTTTCACTTTTATACAAAATCAAATTTTATTCTGGTTAAATAAGTCCACTCTAAAGACAAAAAGTTTATATTTGTGAAAAAAAAACGTAAATGTATATAGGCAGCGTTTAGCGGAATGAATAGGAAAATCGTGTACAGCTTCACACAGTGTGTAAGAGATTCATCCGATCGACAATTATTTTAGCAAATATCTTCAAAAGGGGGCAAATTGAAGATCGATATTTAAAGATTTAATGTTGATTAAATAATAAAGGAACAATTCATTCGCATGTTTGGCTTGGAAACCGAGTATTTTTGCGAAATTTTAGGGTTTCTGGCGAACGTGAAATCGCCGATGTCCGGGATCAATTTTCGGATAGAATCTAAATATCAAAGAAAAGCGTATGTGTATTTTGGTTTGTTGTCCTGGCATTTCGGCACAATATATTAAATTCTTAATACTCTTATATAAAGTTTTTGCAAGAATGAAACTAAAGCAAAATTGTGCAAATATTCGACAATCATTCAAAAATTACACTCATTTGTAATTTGAGAAAACAATCTTTCAAACTTGCGGCGTAAATAGTCGATAATTTTATCCTTTTTTCGGTAAAATTTGCTAATTTCCAATCAACTGTTGATCATTTCTGATATAAAATTATCACGCGTGTTATATCTGGTAATTACATGTACTGTACAGCGCGTGTATACATTGGTCTGATCTCTATTGCGTGATAATGATCGGAAGCGTTATCGCTGATTGGCTAATCGCTTCACGGGTCGATGTGCATAGGACCGCCTACCTATAGACTGACACGCGCTGACGCATTTTGTGTATTTGTGGTTGTAAACAATCGGTAATGTTTATGCGTCCCCAGGCAAAATTAAGCGTACGTGGAATCCTTGCTCTGAAATATTTGCGTCCAGCTGTAATAAACATGCGTACCGGGACGCCGAAATAAGCGTCCCCGAGAACCCTGATAACTAGTGTCAAACTTGACAAGCTAATTATAAACAATGCATGTAAGTACAATTCAATATTGCTAACTATCTGTATCTGAATGGGAACAATGTACTAATCGGCTAAGTCTGCTTCAATTACAGTAAAGTTTTACTATTAAGACCAATTTGGGGCCGCTGTGGAAATGTTCTTATTATTGAGCCCGTCTTAATTTAGAGATCAATGCAAGTGGTAACTATATGTGATTCTGTAATAGGTGGTTATCATTAAAGAATATACATTCCTACATACTTGCGTTAACAATTTTATATCAAATTATATTTGCCAATTTTGTTCATGTGAGCAAACTGGAAATATTCAGCAACAGAAAATAGTATTCAATTCAACATCTTTAACCTTTACTCTCCTGGTGGCAACTGAATACATTGTTGACTATTCAGTCAGAATATACAATTTTACCTAGACTTGGTGAGGTTAAATGATGTACAATAGTGTGGTAAGGGTTAAATTTAATGGCAAATGTATCTATCAAGAACTGCAAAACATCTATACATGTACTTTCTAAAAACCAGCATTAATGGTAATTTTCCTATACTTCACACAACTGACAAAATACAGTTGTCAGTAATGGCGCTTTATTTTCAGCATTTTTGGCGTACAGTTCCTGTACATATTAATAAAGCATATTTTTCAAATTCACAGCAAATCTATAATGTCACATATACACATTTAGTAGGGTTATGGTTAATGTAATAAGGTTATAATGAAGGAACATAATATTTGAGGTAAATTTTTCATAGCAATGAAAGCTAAGCCTTCTGATTTTTTGACATATAACAAGTCACAAAATGTTCAATAAATTTCTGTTCTAATGAGGTACTGTATCATTATGATCATTTGAAATGATCAGTGTTCAACAGTTTGAATTAAACAAGGTCCAAGTTTTCAAGTCTAAATTACTTTATACCATCTAACAAGCCATGTATTGATTGCACCATAAATGACACATCTTTAAGGAAGATCTTTTATAAAGTACAGTATCTGTTTACATGTTTATTGATTTTAAGTAAACGTTCTGCAGGCACACAGAAAATCAATCAGGCAGCATCGTAAGCTAGCTGACGCTGATTGCCTCTCGTAACATTGTAACACTTGGCTTTCCTAGTCGTGAAAACTTATTAAATTCTTCTCATGAATGACATCAAATAATTGGAACTGTATTCAACTTGTCAGTAAAGAAATTAACAAGAGCTGTCAGTAGGACAGCACGCTCGACTATTCTAAGTGCTTGATAGTAAAAGAGCCTTGATAATGTTAAATTTTTTAAGTTCACAAAAGGGCTAATTTTTTTTTATGAATTCATGATATAGGCCTTAGAGAGAGTCTAATTATACAGTATTGGCTTGACTTTTTCGGAAGGTATTGTCACAAGGGTGTTTTATTGAGTATAATAATACAAATTACCTATGAATACATAAATTTGACAGAAAAGGTACCAAGGCTTGTTATTAAGATGTTTTATCAAGTAAATCACTGCTTTATTATTATGAATGCATAAAATTGTCCCAAAAAAGGCACAAACCCTTCAGTAGTTATTGAGATAAGAGCTTACGTACAAGCAAAACTTTACCATGAATTTCTGAGTTGAAAAAGGGGAGAAAAATCAGCCTAAATGCAAGACAGAATTATGGATCTTTGTCAGTGACCTACATATATGACCCTAAATGCATATGTAAAGTTTTAAATAAATATCTTTAATAGTTATTGAGATATGTAAAACTTGCATGTATTGTAAACATTAACCAAGAGACTAAGTAGAAAAGGGGATATGAATCAGCCTTAATGCAAGATAGAGTTATGGAACTTGGTCAGTGACATACAATTATGACCCTCCAATTAATCCCCTTAGTACATGTGCAAAGATTCAAGTAAATATCTTTGAGGACCTTTAACCAAAATTTCTAAGTTTCAAAGGGGCAAATAATTCTGCAAATATTGCAGGCAGAGTTATGCAATTTTGCAAACTGATGTACATTGTTACTATAAAAAAAGTATTTTAAATTTCAATTGAATATCTCAAGCAATAATTGAGATATTTGACTTTACAAAAAAACTTTAACCAAAATTTCTAAGTTCCAAAGGGGCATAATTCTGTCAATATTGTAGGCAGAGTTATCCAACTTGTCAATCTGATGTACCTTGTTACTATAAATAAGTATTGTAAGTTTCAAATGAATATCTCAAGCAATAATTGAGATATTTGACTTCACAAAAAGTTTTAACCAAAATTTCTAAGTAAAAAAAAGGGGCATAATTCTGTCAATATTGTAGGCAGAGTTATCCAACTTGTCAATCTGATGTACCTTGTTACTATAAATAAGTATTGTAAGTTTCAATTGAATATCTCATGCAATAATTGAGATATTTGACTTTACAAAAAACTTTAACCAAAATTTCTAAGTTAAAAAGGGGCATAATTCTGTCAATATTGTAGGCAGAGTTATCCAACTTGTCAATCTGATGTAACTTGTTACTATAAATAAGTATTGTAAGTTTCAATTGAATATCTCAAGTAATAGTTGAGATATTTGACTTTACAAAAAACTTTAACCAACGCCGACGCGGACGCTGACGCTGACGCTGACGCCGGGGCGACTACAATAGCTCTCATATTCTTCGAATAGTCGAGCTAAAAAGGCCAGATCTTCCTAATACATGACAACAAACTCTAATTACTGTATCATACATGTATTTCAAGCAAAGAATTTTTATTACACAATATGCCGGCTTACAAAATAAGAATATTCTTTGGGAATAGCACTACCTTGTGTGTTTAAGTTGACCATTTCATACATTCAGCTGTATTTCTTATTTTATGCAAAGAACTAAAATTTCTCATTCCTTAAATTTAGTATTATACTGTTACATTGTTGATACTTGTAAGGTATTTCAATATGAAAATACTATTGAAATCCTTATAATTTTAAAGCCTGGTCTAATAGTAAGAATATTCAAGCAAGCAAGCACAATTCTATATTGTTGAGCTTGTATTCTCATTGGACAATGGTTGAACAGCATAAGGAAAAAGAAGAGAATCAAGTACTGTTTAGTTCTAAAAGGGAATATCTCGATGATGAAATGAGTGGATGAATAATCTATGATCACCCTGAATAATCAATACACATAGTGAAGTCATCTTTAGTTCAATAACATTGTGCCTTGTTAATACCATTTGTATTGTTCTATTTAACTTAAATGACCTGTAGCTTATGTTTCAATTTTCATGTCATACCAGCCCAATATTTGTCCTACAGCCAATAATGCTTTCAAAACAAGCCAATTTTAAATGCCAGTGTAAATAACTTGTAACCTCAATTTTGAATGTTTAGTCTAACTATATAATAAGAATTCTAAATAATAAACAGAACTTTATTATGGACACAGAATTTTTGTAAAAATTATCAATTATATTGCATATGCTTAAAATGCAAAATTTACTAATTTTAAGTCCTTTGAAATTGGAACATTACATACATATATGAAATCTTCTCGAGAGGGCATTAAAATAGCAGTTACATAAATATGCCATTTAATAAAGATACCTTTGTTTTAAAGAGTCAAATAATATGATCTGTCACCCCTTTGTATTTGAAATTTACATTTTTTTTAGATTTCAATAAAAAACAAGCAATTATCATAGTATTGCAAGCAATCCATAAGTCCCCTACCGATAAGAGCCTAAGCAACATTCTGAAGGGCCATTGGCCATTCACTTATGTTCCTATTTTAAGTAAATTTTTTGAAAAAGTTCTTTAAAAGTGATCACAGGAAACAGTTTTTATGTACAGACAGACGGACTGAAGGTCACTCTAAAGTTATTTTTTAAACATCCCTGTTATCAAAATATAACATTTTTAAAATCCTATCATGATTGAAGAAGTTGGAGTAAAAATTACCAATTTCTCAAAAAAAAATGTAAGTTCAAAAGGGGCATAATTCTGGAAATAGTCTTGCTAGAGTATTGAACACTCACAAATGTTGAGTGATAATAAGAAACATTTATATGAAGTTTGAAGTAGATACATTCAGAAAAAGAAGTTATTAAAAAAAAAAACATTATGTTTTTTTCATGAAAATTTTAAGTTCAAGGGAGGTAATTCTGATAAATTTTGTGCTAGAGTTGTAAACCTTGTCACATATAATGTGGTTGATTACAAGCAACTTATATTTAAAGTTTGAAGAAAATACCTTAAGAAATAAAGAACTTATAGTGAAAAAACTTAAAAACTAGAATCAGAAATCTTGAAATTCAGTCTATTTGTTGCCATAGCAACCAGAATTTTCAACATAGGAAGATAAGAAAAGGATGTGCATAATTTCCATACTGCCATCTACTCATATGTCAAGTTTCATAAACATATTTTCAGTACTTTTTGTGTTATCACTGGATCCAGGTTATGTGAAAAATTTGCCATATTTTCAGTCTCTTTGTTGCCATAGCAACCAGAATTTTCAACATAAGAAGAAAAGAAAAAGACGTGCATAATCTCCATACTGCCATCTATCCATATATCAAGTTTCATAAAAATATTTTCAGTACTTATTGCGTTATTGCGGGATCCAGGTTATGTGTAAAATTTGCCATATTTTCAGTCTATTTGTTGCCATAGCAACCAGAATTTTCAACATAGGAAGAAATGAAAAAGACGTGCATAATCTCCATACTGCCATCTATCCATATATCAAGTTTCATTAAAATATTTTCAGTACTTTTTGTGTTATCGCGGGATCCAGTTTTGTGGACGGACGGACTGACGGACGGACAGACGGACGGACTGACGGACGGACGAACGGACGGACGGACAGACGGACGGAGGGTAAACCTAAAGTCCCCTCCGGTAAACCGGTAGGGGACTAATAAGGATATACAACATGTATGTATATTTCTTCCAAATAAAGATATCATACTATTGGGTTCTATTGGCTTATGGTGAAGGAATAAATGAATCAATAGAATATTTTTTTCATTTGGCAAATTCAAATTCAATTCTTAATTTACATGTAAATGAATTTGTGCTCTTTTTCCCAATTTCTTGTGGTTGTACTAGTACCACCTTATGCAGTTTTTACACTGAAAATTGTTCCATCTAATCAAATGACAACAATTGATCTAACACAATTTGTTCATTCTAAGATTTTGGCAAAATAACATCAATTACCAGTATTGTACACGCCTTTAACTAAACATGCCTTACAATCATCATATACACAATCCCTTTTTATCATCATGCATGGGCATGTCAAATATAACACATAATTCTATAAATTTATGCACCAAGTTAGATATATTTCATAAATAAATAATTAGAAATGTAATGCATTTTCAACAATGTCGATGATATTTTCTGCATTCTACATGAGGCAAACCTCTAGACTTTTTGGTTAGAATGACGATAATGTTTTTATCAGGGCTTCCATATGTTTCAAAATTTGAAAGTCAGAGACTGAAAATGTCTGACAATGGATGTCACATTATATAGGTAAAGAAGGAAAAACATTATATCTTGGAAGTCACAAGCCAAAATCAGGAGTAAATGGCACACAAAGTTTCCATTTATGGAAGCCCTGTTTTATGATATCATATGGTGTGTTTTTAGAAATTAGAGCTATTCTATATATAATGCATGGTATATAAAATTATCATTCTGTTTCTGGCCAGTGTAAAAATCATTAATAATAATGGAAGGATTAAAGATTTCAGGTACAGAGCAGGAGTGTAATAGCAAATTTAACAAATTAAACAATAAATGTAGTACTCATACCAACTCCAGCAACTTGGGTCAATAAGGTCACAGTGATTCCACTAGTGGAAGTTTGGGAGTCATGTACTCCTGATTTTGGCTTGTGACTTCCAAAAACAATAATGTTTTACCTAATTTTAACTATATAATGTGACTTCCAATGCCAGACATTTTCAGTTTCTTGACTTCCATATTTTGAAACTTAATGGAAGCCCTGATTTGGAGATTGGTAATCAAGCGTTAAATGGTAAAATTTTGATTCCTTTATTCCCACAAGAAGGATTCTGATCTACTTACCAACACAATTATCACATAGGCTACAATGTGAGGCTCTTGGTGGCCTGAATATTTTACATGTAAAGCAGTATTTCAGCTTGACCACTTGACCTTTTATCACCACCTCCTTAGTACGCGGAGGGGGTCGGTATGCCCCAGGAACTGAGCTGTTAGGAATATCTGAAAAATACACAAGGGTGTTATTAACTACACTTAAATGCCTATAAAATTATCAAAATTATAAGCATTCTATGAGCACCAACTGATACCAAGTTGCAATTGTGTTGACCAATAAAACATAAACATTTAACAGACTTTTTTTCTAACTGTATAATACAAACATGAAGTACCAACTACAAAGTCATCATTCTTATCAAACTCATGTAGCACAACAAAAACAGGGGGGAAAAAATTTTAATCTCAGTGAATGATTAAAATGACATTACATGCATGCTACATGTACCTACATATTTTAACCAATAATGAAGACTGAAGAGAAAAAGTACTTGTGATGAAAAGAAGGCAAAATAGTGGCTTCACACAAGTTACAATTTTCTTTTGGTCAATAAAACAGGTTCCTAGCAATGTTAGCAAAATATGTTTTCAACATTGGAAGGTTAGAAATATTATAAATTAAAAACAAGTAATAAATTTAATGACTTAACTAAATTTTAATAAAGTGTTGTACCAATTTGTCTCTCAATGTCAGCAGCTTCATCTGGTGTTGCCCTTGGAATTACTCCAGGATCACTGAAGCTTGTGCGAAATAATGTTGCCATGACAAAAATAAACAATGCCCCACCCACTGCTGGTATAGCTGGAGTCACATGCTCTGCTAAATATGGACAACTGAAATAGATAAATTATTCATATTATATAATTTTTATTATACATTATATATCAGAGTCAATTAGGTGCCCCATATAAGTGGTATATTTTGGAAACAATTAGGAATCATGTGAATTTATCATTACTCATTAACAATACAGTAACAATCATATCAATATTTTGTCATGTGTTTATAAAATACAAGATAAATGCATATAGGTTCTTTAACAAGAGGTTTATACAAATCAAAGAAAAAGTGCACTTTAAATCTTTTTCATTTTAAGCCTGAACTGCACATTTAAGAGTAAAAAAAAACTTTACTTTTACACTTCAAGTAACGAAGTTTGTTAATATTGATTCTATACCAGTAATTAAGATACATGTAAGTTTGATGGAGATCATTTCATTCGTTATTAAGATAGAGTAACACCCAAAAATAATTTCTGTTGTTTTATAAAGTTGTTTAAAAAGACCCAATGGTTAAAAAATAAATGACAGTATTTTTTACATATGTGATATAATATATTTCAAAACTGCCATCTCATCTTGCTTCTACACAGTGAAGAAAAAAAAAGACCTAAATGTCTAGCAAAAATCAGATCTAATTACCATGTATGTAAGTCACAGTAACATGCATATGTTGCATAATTATCAATTTAAGATTTACAAATATCAAGATTTGCTAAATTTCTGATTTCCTACTTATAATAATTTCTAAAATTTCATAATTATCCCATTGGAAAATTCATTGCGTAGAAGACTATTCAACTGTGTTTCAATGCAATGTTATTAAACATTTCAACTTTTTAGTAATAAAATATTTCATCACATGATTTAGCAAAGGATAGTCTATATTTCCATTGCTCAAATTTAGCAGAACTGACATAAATATCCTAATTGTCTATAAACTATATATCACTATCTGCTCAAGTGGACTTTTTTCAAGTAATCAAGTACTGAATATATTCTTTTTTGCAAAAGTGTATCATAATATAAACAATGTAATTTACTAATTATGTATTGTCTACATGTATACTAAAACAGCTTCTTAATCTTATGCAAAGAACACTAATATACATGTATAATTGACCTGTTCAGCTATAAATTTGAAAATGTGAACATAGTAAAAGAATTAATGTGTACATGTATGCCATCTTCTAGAAAGGTTTGAGTGTATGCACGCCCAAGAAATTTTTTTTTTGCTTGATGAGTTTTGACATAGTAATTTTAGTATACTAAATATGTTCAAGAGATAATTAAAAATTGCAGATAAACAAATAAGCTACTTTTATTTTGGGAAATTATTTTAGTATATCAAGCATTCAATGCAGTAAATACCAAATTGTGTGCTAACAATAGTCTAATACCTAAGATTAACATGTAAATACAATGCATATACATGTATATATATACATACTCATTACAGAAATGCTAATAGAAAATAATTTTTTTTTGTATTTTTTAAGTCACACACGTGACAGACACCGAAAAGGTCATATTTCCAACTTCACTGGTGGGCACCCCTTATGTTCACTATTTCAGGCACAAGCCGAAACCAGAATGATACCAACAACCTTCTATAAGTTAATTAGATAGTTTTCTTCCAATGACAGAATCCAAGGTCCCTGACAGGATGGGAACCAATGTAGTGTCTGTTACTGTGTGTTTGGTTTGTTTACCCACACCACCTAAAAAGATCCATATTGACAAGCATACAATGTACAAGTAGAACCCTCACTGGTGACTGGCAAGCTATTCAAGGTAAGCAATCTTAGCCACTTGGCCTTGGACGCCCCAATTCAAACAAATGACTGCCAATAAAAGAGGAAGAGTGATGTTCCAATAGAGCACCGGACACCTAATCTAAGGCTGTGGGTTCACCAGAGGTGATAATTATTCTCTTTAAGCTTCCTTGTTAGACACTGTAGTGATTACACATTAGCACCATTTTATCCAATAATCTATAGGTTTATTTAGTCCTGTACCTTTGTATGCACAGTGACAGGCTTTCGGCTTGTATGAACTATGCAAAGATGTTAAAATTATCATACAATAATGATAATCAGGAACAAAATTACTAATCATGTCATTCTGTAAAAAACCTTACTGAAAATTAAGAAAAAGCGACGTATTTTAAACTTGTGTTGCAAGAGTTGCTCCTTAGATTTTCTACCAAAAAGAAAACAATATAAAATAAATAAACAAATAAAATTCCCCCTCCTATTGCATTTTTACCCCTCCAAAGGGCACCAACCTCCTTCCCCCAAAAGTGAAAAAAAACACTGGCCTCTCTTTTCACTTTGAACACTCGATGATAATTATTGATCCAAAAAGTTGTGATTGTTCCGTATTGGAATACCCCGCCTGTTATCATTGAGTTACATTAAAAATGGGGGCGCCCAACTAGAACTGACTTAATTTCATTGCTATATTGAGCCGCGACACAACAAAACCAACATAAAATGTGTTTGGGACCAGCATGGATTCAGACCAGCCTGCGCATCCGCGCAGCCTGATCAGGATCCATGCTGTTCGCTTACAGACCCTATAACAAGTAAAGAAACTGAAAGCGAACAGCATGGATCCTGATCAGACTGTGCGGATGCACAGGCTGGTCTGGATCCATGCTGGTCGCAAACCCATTATGTTGGTTTTGTCGTGACGCGGCTCAATTATATTCTTTGTTCTTTTATTTGATTTCCTTTTAAATATACATGTGTAGTCTATAGCCAGGTTGAATTCCCAGTATTAAACTATTATTTTCATATTCAACCTCACTGTTTTATCTATAGATGCTTTTTCATTTACTTCTGTTTTAAATGTATGTCTGAACTAACTCCTCCAGGGTTATTCATGTTTGTTGTTGACATGGTAAAAGTTAACATATTCTAACAGAATTTTACAATTTAAGACTCTTTAATTAACCAACAAATATTAATCATTATTATTTTATAAATGTGTATTTACTGTACATATTAATGTCTTTGCAAAAGACAATTAATATACATTGTGTGTAATTGCATAGCATATTATGCAGATCTTACTTATAGACTGATGACTTATTTCAAGGCCATTTCGAAAGAATTGAAACTAAAATTGGCTTTGTATGAAAACGCAGTCATTCTTAATTTAAATGCCTGTATGTTTATGATTTTATTAATTATGGAGGTCTGAACTGAATTATATAATACATGCTTCAGGCATTAGGCATACAGTACAGCTCGCGCGGAATGTACATTTTTTATGCTTCCTCCGCGATCGACGTTTTAAGCAAACTCCTTAATCCACCGCGTTTTTCTGAGCGTAATCGCGGAGAAACAACCTGGACCACAATCGCGGAGTTTTAGAGAGTGTAAAGGTATTACCGGGGAGATTCTCCAAGAAAATCCACGATTTATAAGTTGATATTATTATTTTAAAAAATTATCCCTTTTCATTAAAAGTAATTTTCATTTTTCATTAAAAAAACTACATTTGTAATTATCTAAATTGTTATTTTATTTTTGTTTTGAAAATTTGTAGGTCCACTTGATTAATCGATCGTAGTATTTCTTGTGAACAATCTTCTTGAAACACCGTACCGCTGAATCAGGTCTACATCGTATTTTGTTTTTATACTTTATTTGGCATTTTTTGTTGCTGTTTTTAGGACAAGGATACTGTAGGTGTATATAAGTTTTTTTATGTTTTTGAAGGGCATTGGAAATGTTGGCATATGTTGGAAATAGGCCTCGGAGCTAGATATACATGTACTGTAGACATATCCGTTATTTTAATCACCCGTAAATGCAGAGATTTTTATTACAGATAGCTCTGTGGTAAATGTGTCAACATGAAAAAACTATAACAACCCTATTTATTATTTTGTAAAGAAATAAGATCAACAGTTTTGAAAATTTGACGTTGTACATGTAATACTACACCCTATATTGTTTTATATTTTACATGCATGTTTTTTTTTAAAAATACGTCGGTCTCCATGCTTTGCTCATGACTTCACATATTTAATTTGGTCAACAAACACAAATTATAAAGTTCTTTTTCTTTAAGATTTTAAAGTTTATAAGACATTGGTTACCTGTTTATATACATGTAGTTCTTGACCTATACGTTTCCCAACGCGTACACGATGTCTATTTCAAATGTCCACAAATTTGTACAACAAAACTAGTACGTCCTCACTGATAATTTTATGTGTCAACAGCGAAAATTATAATGTCTTCACCTTTTACAATTCTCTATAATAATTTACGATAAAATATATCTGTGTTTTCAATAAATAAGATTGAACGTCCTTTTTTCTCATTTAGTGTATAATGATATTGGTTTCAAAATACTTTTTATTCTATCAATCATTTATAATCATTAACGTTTTTTTTTCAGCAAGATGACCATGCATGGAAGATTTCAAGAGTTTCCAGAGACGATGTGCCTGATCTAAATAACTTCTTACTTGAAGTATAACTAATACTAATAATATTTGTTCTACAAAGGTTGACAAATAAAAGAAGTGAACAAAGAATATTATGAACGTTATACTGTGTATCATTGTTCTTTGCCTCCCCCCCTTTTTTTTAAAGCCGGCAAACATACATGTACATGGATATGACGCTTTACAGAAGGTGGGTATGTAATCACATACGGAGACATTAAGAACTATCCAACAGTAAGTCTCCTCATGGTAGAGGAACATATTTATTCAATATTCAACATTTGCATAGATGATATATTTGGTAAGTGAACATTTTTTGAGTATGTTGTTTGATGTCAACGCCAATGACTGAGCGCCGTTTGCACATACTTATCTTTTTGCTCAGATGTGCACATGCTTGTCAAAAGTTGTTTGTTATAATTCTTTTTTTGTAATGAGGATACATTGTGCCTTTTGATAAGGACCATCCGACAAATCCTAAGTTTTATCATTCAGAAAGTCTGTCTTGACGCCTTCAAAGCTTACAGTACATATCTTCCGAAGATCGACGCAGCCTTAATCCGTGAAATTTCTCCACCGAACTTCATATAATATGTAGATAATCTCAATCCAAAAGTACAAGATTAAGGAAAAGAAAAGGGAAGAGAATGTGAAGTTGAACTCTTAAGGAGAATACAACTCGCTTCTTTTTCTGAACTATTAAAACTGCTAAGGTCCTGAAATGAAAACAAATAGAGTTAGAAATTATAATTATTACAAACACGAGTGTACAATCTATTTTCAAAGATGACTCGTTAGAAATAAAATGATGGGAAGAGACGATGGATCTAAAGATAAACATGTATATAAAAGTATTGAATTTGATGATACACAAAAACAATTAGGCCTAACATTAAAACCCGTACACAGTTACTACAAGAACAACAACAAACAATCACTTTTACAAAAGTTTAGATCTTCTGTTAACATGAATTGTTTTGAAATAAATTCGTTGAAAGACAACGCATAATAGGTGTCTCATAAAATTATGAACAAGTCTGCATTCATCAAGTTTAAATAATATACATATGCATATGATATAATATACGCTCATCTCTATTATTATGTCATAGGTATAAATATAAACACGTGTGCAATGGTCCGGAATACCGGCCAGGTAACAGATAATATCCTTGCTGAAATCGAAAGTAGATCCACAACATACATTTACAAGAAACAATTTCTTTTATTTTGATCATTTTTATGAATTTTATTTGCACCAATTGAAAGAAAGTCACGGAGAATCGCGGAGGACTGAAATACACCGTTTTTTAAGTAAAATACCGACGCTTTCGGCGAATTTCTGTCTCCGCGACACCTCCGAAAATTGCGGAGTTTTATGGAGTTTCTCGGCGATTTTCCTCCCAAGTTCCGCGGAGGGAAAAGGAAAAAAGTACATTCCGCGCGAGCTGTACTGTACATCATACGTAGCATGTGCCCTTTTTCATAGACTATCTATCTTCATTTACTATAAATGAAATATATATCCAACATGAAAAAATACCTCAAAATAAGGATGTCAACTATGGATCTTCCAAATAATAAAATCTATAAAATTATGGATGGTACATTAATGATTAATTTACAGACTGTTGATTAATTATAATAATATTTACTTTCATATTATTATTATTTATTATTATTAATATTAATTTCGTTAAATCCTTGTACTTTTAAAGTCCATGTTAAATATCTTAAGTTGTCAACAAAATTAAATAAATATAGATCTATATACTGAAAGTTCATGAGATAGATCAAAATCTATCAAATTGAAAATACACAAAATACTCACTCAAATCCAAAGAAAAGTCCACATGTTGCAATTATCAATGTACAAGTGAAATAGAAGATTCCATTCTGACGTGCCATCATGATCCTTCCATTACAGCAAAATTTATTTTTACCAGGAAACACTTCCCACTTTCTCACTTTTTTGCCCATCTTCCCCTCCACTTTAGATGGGGAGTCTGAAGACACTGGTTGGTAACATTTGTCTTTTTTCATTCCAAATTTACACACCGGATAACAGACTGTTTCTTTAGAATATTATATATGTGAAATTATACAATATTTTACTAGCTTTCAAGTCATATCTATAACTAACCACTCTTTAAACAAATAAATTTCTTTTTTTCTGAAATTTATTATTTGTTGCCATTCACATAATTAATGCGCATGCGCATATTTACTTCCGTAAACGGACTTATTTTTCAATAAAATTGTAAAAAACACATTGATATACTATTCAATGTTTCTGTTTTACGTAAATAAATTGTTGAAAAAGATTATAAGTAACTTATTAAATAAATATAAGATAAGAACTGTTTACATTTCATATGACCTTGACCATGTAAACAAAATGGCAGCCCCCATGGAAAAAGGAGAGCTGAAAACAGAAACACTGACAAACATGTCAAATGGTTCTGATGAAAAACAAGCTGACCTTAGCGCAAATAGGAGAAATGGTAGCTTCATAGATTTATAGCAGTTTTATTACATGTCAATGGCGTTATAGTCAGGCAACCTGCATTGAATTGCTGAATGAAAATTATCAAAGTGCTTGAAACACTACGAACTGATGAAAAGGTCTAAAAGATTGTGCTAAGATTCAGATAACTTGTATTTTAACAACAAAGGCCCATTGGAATGTAGGAATACTTAATTAAATCAAGCTACATGTACCCTCATTTGTTAAGATTTGAGAATTTTTTTTTAAATGTGTCTCTTTTTTTTTTTTTTTTTTTTTTTTTTTTTTTTTTTCAAAAGATAATTTGTTTTTAAAAGGCCTACTGTAGGCCTAAAGTTATATAGTATAATTGTATACTGGCATAACAGAGCAGTTCAAGTACAAAAATCGCAGTTACTTAATAATTATTTTTTATTACGCTCACCAAATAATTTAGTCCTAATTATAAGACCTATACGTAACCTATTTCATATTTATCATTCATTAATCTGATATTTTACATTTTTCATTTTCCATGTTACGTTAGGTCTTAACAGATCTTTGCAAAATCGTGTAGCAAAAAAATTGACATTAGACATCGATTTAGATCTAATGAATTTAAACAATGAAAACAGCGTGTATTCACATTAATTTTGACCCATTATGAACAAAACTAAAAAATAAATACCTTTTTACAAAATAATTGAACTGTCACATCCGAAAAGTCATGATTAAATCCTCTCATTTAATTAAATTCCTTGTACAGCCAATATACAAATGGCCGCCATACAGTGCGCGAAATCTGATTGGCTAATTCAAATGCAAGCGTTTAAATGAGTCCAGAAGTTTCTAACGGAACATTTTTTCAACGAAATAATTGCCCATGCACCGTCAGTGTGTTCGAATATATTTTTCCGTTCAAAAAATTGGAATCAATCTGTAAAACGCTTTACTTAACCAGTATGGCCGATGAGCGAAATAGACTGATATGTATATTTTATTTTTAATTGATAAGTACATTGTTTGAAAGTTTTTGTTAATGATAGACCATGCATTTGAAAGAACAGAAGATAAGCTCTTGAATAAAGCTTGAAAGGCAAGTCAACAGACATTTTTTTAAATTTTCAAAATGCTACGCGTTTTTGAGCAATAACTATTAGACGTCAGGATTGACCAACATAAAACTATAACAAGCCTGTAACGTCTAATCTATTGGACTACAAATAATTGAATGTTACATATCAACATTCGGCTCGTAACACAAATTTTGGAAATTCCATTATGCTCTAAAATAGAATAACCCTTAGTTATGAGGCCTGATATAGGGTACTGAAATTATCCATTATTTTGTATGAAGAGAAGTAGTTCACGTAAATAGAATATAACTCCATTATAATTATACAATGTCAGACATATTTTTCATTTATAATTGTTGAAGAGACCATTTTCCCAGAGGTACATAAATAGATGTAATTCAAGAAAAAGAGCGTAGACTAATCACTGGTATCTATTACCGTTGTTCCAACGCATTCCCATACAATTACATGCTTGTAATGCATGACATTTTACTCATTAAAGCCAGAAAATGATTTAATATAGTAATAAAGGTAAAAATTCTGATAATTTAACACGTTTTCATCACATTGCTTTATATTTTGTCTTGTGCATACTTCTGCTTGATTTGATATCAATTTTTAAAGAATGCAAGTAAAAATCAAGCGTTTAAACAAAAAATACGGGTACTACTTCTGTACAGGAAGTGCTAGCATGCCAGTAAATGCATCATGAAATTTCAATTTATAAGGGAGCCTGGTCTTAGCCTAGTCTAGGACCTTGGGAGTCCTTTTTCATATACCCCCACCACATAAATGTAGGGGGAGGGGGTGCTATACTCATATGGTCAGTTATCATCAGAACACCATTGAATACATGTATTTAAAAATTTTATTCTAACTACAAAAGCATATGTTTACATGTCAATTTTAGATATTAAACGGATATCAAAGAGACAAGTATGCACTGAATCAAACCCATGTGACTAGAGAGAATGAGAGAGCATATCGTATTACACAACAGGGGCTATACTGGAATCACAGTCCTGCATGATCCTTCCATTTTTTAAAATCCTTTATGGTTACCCCTTGAAGGATTGACTGATATGTTCACCTCAATATGACTGTTGGGGTTATTGTTGTCCAGAATACTACTTGTTTTATAAGGCCCACCCCTCAGAAGTATACCCGATGTACCCAGATACTAAAAAAACTGCTTAATGGTACCCAGAAATACTTTTTGTTGCCTTGTATTATTCTAAATAAACCCTAGATTTTATTGCATTATGTTTAATGTTTAGTAGTGTTTAAAAAAATAAACATGTCTTCAGAACTAATGTCAGACAACTTTATGCCCACTCTAAAAATCACATCCATTGAATGATAGTCTCTTCAACCTTGGCTCAAAATGTTCACCTCATCAAGACATTGTTCAGAATCCATGCCATCCATGTGTCTGGTTAAGGTCAATGTCACACCTGAATGTCAAATAATAGACAATATTGTGTTCTGCTCTATAGATCCTTTACCCAGGAATGTCAGAAGGATTTATCTGGCCCCAATAAAGGAATGTATAAATTTGTTTGTTCATACTATCATGTTTTCACTTACAATACAGTTGAAACACAGCTATTTTTTTTTAAATTCTTTTTCTTTTTGTCTAAATATTTATATATAAGGTAGTTTTATTATGTAAAAACTGACTTGACATGTCCCCAACTTTAGATATATGAAACTCTTTTTAGGTACCTAATTAAAGGTAAAAAACTTTTAATCTATCAAGTTTGTTATAAAATCTTTGAGGTTGTCGAAACAGGACTTATAAATTGATTATTTAAATTAATGATTCATTGAGATTTTATATTTGATCGTGTGTTTGCTTGCAAGCTATAATTGACTATAATCTGTTGATAGTTAGGGCCATCCTTAAAAAAATGTTTGTTTGCAGTAACGCGACCGACTCACAAAATTTGCCCCTACTCAAAATTTTTTTTCATGGTCTGAATAAATTTTTTTTTTTGAATCAGAAAATTATGCCTTGTGCTTTGTTTTCGTTCTTGTAAAGGTTAATAGAAGAAATAAAATGTAGGTCTTATTAAATTAGAATTCAGTTATCAATTTATTAATTGTTACCAGATTATAAAAGCATATATTGTCCAGCATTTTGAAATTCCATGCTTATTTGGGAGAACAGTTCAATAAAAAAAAAAACAGAAAAAAAAAAGATAATCGTCCTACCTACCCACCTTGAAAATTCTGGGCCGGGTTACTGCAAACAAACATTTTTTTAAGGATGGCCTAGCAAAAATTATAATCATTAATAAAATATTATTTTTGCAGCACTGTAAAAATTATAAATAAAAATAAAATATTATTTTTGCAGCACTGATGTTTAGTGCAGCTGGTCTGTCAGTCTTGTTTGGTTTTGGATTGTCATTGTATAATGCCAGGAGAAGAGAACCAAATTTATTTAAGAAGGTAGTTTATTTCTTTTATTCATTATTGTACAATTAATTGTAATTTAATAAATATACACACATTGTATCATAGTTTATCCTCAGTGTGTTATCTGGAGTGCAAGTGTTAGTTACTCACACTCAAATTACTGTATTGTCTGTCGGAGAAAAAAATAGAACATGGTCATTGATTAGTTACATTTTTCTTTGGGTTTACATATTGTGATAACAAAATGAAAGTTGTCCATAGGACACAGATGCCCCCACACTGACTTACAGCAGGACAGTTTTACAGAGGGACAGACAAAGGAAATTTTACATGACTCCCCTACCCCTAAGTGAGGACTGCAACCAACCCTCCCCACCTTTAGGGGCACAACTATACATGCTGACCAACAATTTTGTAAAGTTTCATAACTTTAGACACAAAGTGTAAATTGCGAATTTTACTAAGTCAAGGGCAATAACTCAACAAATACTGAATAAATGCATAATCAACCCTAAGTGCAAAACAACACATGCTGACCAACATTTCAGTTAAGTTTCATGACCCCTAGTTCAAATACTTTTTGGGCCACTCGTGAAACAAGTTGAAATTTCAAATTTTAACTAAATCTAGGGCAATAACTCTACAAATAATGAATAAATCCACAAGCAAAACCCCAGGTGCACAACTTCATATGCTGAGCAACTTTCCTGTAAAGTTTCATGACTCTATGTCAAAAACTTTTTGGGCTGTGCATGACACAAATTGAAAATTGCAAATTTTTACTTAGTCAAGTGCAATAACTCTGACAAAACTAAATTAAACCATAGGTGCACAACTTGAAATGATCAACACTCCTGTAAAGTTTGTTGAGTCTAGCTCAAACTCTTTTAGAACTCTTTTTGGAATGCACATAGGCACTGACGGACAGACAAAAGCAAATCTAAATGCCCCCCCCTCCAAAGTGTGGGGGCATAAAAGTCATATCCATATGCTCATACACTGGTCCATTTTTTTCTTGGGTTTTCATATTGTGACCACAGTGGAAAAGTTTTTTGCCTATGATAAAACAGAGAAAGAATATCAAAACACTTTGCATAATGTATCCTACTTTTATTACAATATACAATTACACATGTAATTTTATAATGTATTAAACCACTTAAGACGAAAAATGAGCTATAAACTACAATTCCAAATGTGAATAATAAAAAAGCTTTAACTTCTAGGAATGGATTTGAGAGTGTTTCAATAAGTTTATAGCATCAAACATAATCATACTAAAATACATTTTGTATAAACTAAACTAACTTCGAAAAATAATGTTTGATTATGCTGGTTTCAGTACGTACATAATGTACCATGATGGGTTGTTACCATGGTGATTGATATGAATTCTGTGCAATAATTAATGTACAAATAACTGCAAGCTTCTCTACATAAATTATCAAGCAATATAGACAAAGGCAAATGGTACTTTTAACTATTGCCACACTAAATATTTTAAATTAACTTGCAACTTAAGATCTTTCAACTTGGACAAAATCAGTCATCAATTTTAAGGAAATATTAAAGCAGGACACCTCCAGATTTAGCAGCATGCCTCCAGATTCATGCTAATTTTTATGAAAATTAAAAAATAAAATATTGTGAAGTGAGTAAAGAGAACAATTTTCACATTGCAAACAACACTAGTCTTGTAAATTACCAAAAAGAGCTCAAAATATGCAAAAATTGCCCTTACTGCTTTAGTAGCACAGTTGAAATATGGTGAAAAATACTTCAAAATATTTTAGTTCATCTGGAGGTGTGCAGCTTTAAAATGTGCACTGAGTGCAGATTATGATACAAGGAGGTGACTCAAAATAGTTCAAGAAAAACAAACTCAACTTAAAAGAGCTGAGATTTTTTTAAAAAGTAAAAAGATTCAAGATAAAAGTAATAACTTCCATGTTATGTTCATTTTATGACTGATTTAAAGTGATTTTGCAGTATTTTTCACCATATTTCTACTGCCTTAAAAAATAGGCTACAAAAACTCATAAAAGCATGTTGTTAAAGGAGTTATAGTTGCATTGTTTTCATTATATATTTCTGACAGGTGAATGCTGATGGGATATCACCAGAGGAAGGAACGGTGTTAGCAACTAAAGCTCTAGCAGTGGCAACAGTATTGTCTGTCTCATCATTTGGTCTCATGATTGTTGGTGTCTTTAAGCTGATGGGTGTTAATAATGTAAGTACATAGTACACACCTATTAAAGTGGCTTAATTAATCCTTTATGGCATTTTGTATAATGTGGGCTATCTGGTGGCAATAAATGAAGGGAATCAAGAGGATGTCTATTGTGTGTATGTTTAAAATAAACAGACAAGCCACACAAACACGAACATTCAGTAATTATTTATTGCATATGTTTCAGCATTATGCCTTCATCAGTGTAAAACATAATAAAATAACAGATGTTAAGGGGGACTTATATTTGTGATAAATGATGTGGGAAGACTTGAGTTAATATTTTGACCATACTTTGCTTTCCTGGATGTTCAGATACAAAAAATATGCTTATTACATATCATTTCAAAAGATTTAAGTATTTTTCTGAAGGCTGAATTGTTTAATACTTCACATAAATTAAAATGATAATACTTGTGTTGTCAGATATTGACACAGTATATGTTTTTTATGAAAGTGTGTAAAGTCACTGATGGAGACAATTGGGAATCATGCAGTAAGGATTAGATTAAGATATAATACTTCTTTCAATTAGTTTGAATAACAATAGTGTTATTAGATATAAGGGCAATCCCATTCACATTGACATTAACAGACACTTGGTTAAGGTTATGCATCCATGTTCATTTAGCGTTAAGGGAATTCAATTAAACTTTGCAACCGCCTTGAGCCATACTTAGGTGATTTTGTAAGACCATAACTTGAACAGCGGAATATTCATTGTTTTAAAAATTGACAAAACACTTTGGAGTATTTTGAAACTAAGCACATTTGTTTTTGATTATTGATAGGTGATATTTCATGACCCATAGCTTGAACAGTGATGAATCTTTTCTCATAATCACAAGTATTCACTAGAAACTTTACACACCTCATGTCTTCAACATCATTATTACAGGTCACTTACCAAGGCATGATTATTACAGGTCACTTACCGGGGCCTTTAATTCTAACATGAGTTATTATGAATTATTGGTCTTTATGAACTCATAGACTTTGTGCATGGTTTTCCATCTCAGATTTGAAGGTAGTTAAACTTAAGTGTTTCTAAAAAGAATGAAAGGCATCAGCCTGATACTTTGTTATGTTGTAATGTCACAATAAGAACAAGGAAGGTAACTAACTCTTACCTGCATAATTTTGAAGCCTCTTTTCTTCTCTTTTTTTCTTTATTCTGCAGCATAACCAAAACAATTTAATAGGTATTTATAAATTGAAATTTTATATGTGGATAAATTTAATTTGAGAAAGTACAGAGCTCTCCTCTTGGTAATTTTGAAGTTACTGCCTTTTTTTACTTTTCTAAATGTATATTCTTTTAATTTTTCATTTCAGTTTCACGAGTTTCATGCCAAATTGAGAGAATATTTTCCCAAGAAAGAATCAAGGGGAAGAGTTGATTTTAAAAACCTTAGGGACTTAGCTGATTATTTAATTAGTGAAGACAGAAAAGCTGAGTTAGCAAAAAAGAAAGAGGCGAAAGACCAGTCTTGATTATAACTGATTGTTGAATAAAACTTGGTGCAGATGCAATACAGTTCCATGTGTATAACTATAAAAGTGGAAGATCAGAGATGGTTGCCATGGAAATTTGTCACATCATGAAGGGATTGCATTGTCTTGTCTTGTCTTGTCTTGAGACTGCATGTTTTTTGGCAATTGCAAATGATTGCAGAAAAGCAGTGAGATTCTAGAAGAGTGCTGTTTGGTATTCAAGTCTATAAACAGTGCTGATAAAAGTTTTACAGGCTTGCTCAGTATGCCATAGGGGTTTAATAAGTGAACTGTGAACATGGACTTCAAACTTTCTCAGTCAAAATATTTAGTAAACACACTATGTCTTAAAATGTTTTATATTTACAATGAAACAGTTTTATGCTTAATTTCACAAACAAAAACTTCTTGGATTATTCAGAATTATCTAGCTTAGTCAGTATGTCCTAAAATTATATCTTAACTTTTTTATGATATTGCAAATTTCATTTTAATATAGTTAGTGGCTTTTACTTAAAACATTATGTTACAATATTTATTTGAGTGCAGGGTTTTTAACCAAACAGATCTTATTATTACACAATGTAGAGAAAAATGCACCCTTAATAATGATGCATACTCACATGATTTTATCTGTAAATGCCTTTTCTCCCCTTAATGCATACCTGTATGTTATGCAATTATGAAATTTGATACGTGAACACTTCTTTATGAGTTCTACCTGCCACACCCATTTTTATTTGATCAAAGTTCAAAACATATAACTGGCCACTGAATCAAACTGCATTGACCTTGAACTTTCAAACTTTGTGTGTTGATGAACCTTCATGAATCTTACGAGCAATACCAAGGGCACAATGACCTTTGTTGACATTATTAGTTTAAGTTTTATTTCACGGTGAATTGAAATCTAATATGTAAATGTATTCAAATGAGTTATGCCTGCCTCACCTATTTCTGGGTCAAATGGCCAAGGTTAATATAACGTTTAATTTAGATTATCTATATAGATGTATGTATGTATCTAGAAAATATTCAGTTTATCATCAAGCTGTGAGAAAAGTCATTGGTCCTTGGACAGATGTTGTATTTCTTAGTAAGTAAGACCATGTTCTGAGCTGTTTCAAAGCTACATTGTGCAATATCCATATAATGGTAGCAGATATTCTTGTTATTGGAGGTTCATACTTTTTACTGAAAATAAAACGAAATATATATTAATGTTTAATTATCTGTGATAAAGAAAAAAATAATAAACAAATTAAAATTGTCATCACTGTTTGTTCTTTTTTAAGTAAATATTTTTAAGTGAAATACAGTCTTGGTTTGTTAAAAGTAAACATAGTTCTGCAATCAATATGCTCAATTTGACTAAAAACCACATTACAGGTTAAAGCAGCCACCTCCAGATTTATGATTTTTTATGCCCCCGCCATGTAATGGCCGGGGCATATAGTGTTACCCTGTTCCGTCATTCCGTCCTTCCGTCCTTCCGTCCTTCCATCCTTCCGTCCTTCCGTCATTCTGTCATTCCGTCATCATCAGTTTCCGTTCATTATCTTAAGAACGGTTGCACACATTCAACTCAAATTTGACATATGGATATGTCATGAGAAAATACAGGTCAAGTTCGAATTTGGTCATGGTTCGATGATTTTTGGCAGAGTTATGCCCCTTTTACTTTGAAAATAATATGAAATTTCAGTTTCCGTTCATTATCTCCCCAACGGTACAACACATTCAACTCAAACTTGACATATGGATATGTCATGAGAAAATACAGGTCAAGTTCGAATTTGGTCATGGTTCGATGATTTTTGGCAGAGTTATGCCCCTTTTACTTTGTAAATAATATAAAATTTTCAGTTTCCGTTCATTATCTCCCCAATGGTACAACACATTCAACTCAAACTTGACATATGGATATGTCATGAGAAAATACAGGTCAAGATCAAATTTGGTCATGGTTCGGTGATTTTTGGCAGAGTTATGCCCCTTTTACTTTGAAAATAATATGAAATTTTCAGTTTCCGTTTATTGTCTCCCCAATGGTACAACACATTCAACTCAAATTTGACATATGGATATGTTTTTGGAATGCCCAGGCCAAGTTCGAATTTGGTCATGGTTCAATGATTTTTGGCAGAATAATGCCCCTTTCACTTTGAAAATAATATGAAATTTACAGTTTCTGTTCATTATTTACCCAACAGTGTTACATATTCAACTTAATTTTGACATATGGATATGTCAAAGGAATGGGCAGGTCAAGTTGGAATTTGGTCATGGTTTGATGATTTTTTGGCAGAGTTATGTCCCTTTCTTTTTGAAAATAATATAGATACATCTAAGGAATAAGCAGTTTAAGTTTGAATTTGGTTGTGGTTCAATGATTATAGACAAACTTATCTTTCCGGAATGTTGGAAAAATTTTGAACTTTCAGTTTCAGCACTCATACTTTTAGCCATTATTTTGGCTACAAATATGCAATATGCTATTTTTAAAAGGTTAAGACTGAATAATTTCAGTGCCTTGAACATTGTATGAAAATGGTTAGTGTTAACATTGAAAAGTTTTGAGGGCTTTGAACTTAAAATGAAAAAAATAATTAATGCACCATCTGAAATTTTGGCTGCATGCGGGGGCATCCGTGGCATGATGACACATTTCTAGTTTCATGAAAATTTTGAAAATTAAATTAAATTTATAATATTAGATAGTAATCAAAAGGAAGCAATTTACACATTATAACTGGCACTTACAACCCACATTAATTACAAAAAGAGGTCAAAATATGCAAGAAATGCCCTTATTTAGTAACACAGTAGAACTATAGTAACACAGTAGAACTATAGTTACAAAGTTAATGAAAAATTCACAATTAATCGCTCAAAACATGTAAATTATTACTAGAATTTCTACTTTTCCTGAAATATTAGTACATTTTTCACAAGTTTGATTTATTGAACTATTTTCGCTCATCTGGAGGCATGCTGCTTTAAGTGTGGGCAATGTAAGGGTGGCAGGGGGAGGGGGGCGTAGGCTGTGCCAATGGAAGACTGTCCTTGAGAAGATTGAGAATTTATATTAGTCATTATATAGCTCAACCTCTAGCTCAATATGTGAGCAAGTCAGGGGGCTCTCCCGAATGGGGTAAGATGGCCTATGGGAATGAGTCATTTGCATGTAGTCCTAAATACCCAAATATATAAAGTCAAGACTTCAAAGCTTTTTTAATATAAAGACACATTTTCCATTATACGTTCGACCAACATGTGTGTCTGACTTGAGAGTGACGATATGAAAGGCAGGCCCTTTGCTGACATAGAAGCCCTTTTCAGGGCTACCTTCTTACCATGTTGTGTAAGGTTACTTTACATTAAAGTTCTCATTGGCTGCCAGACAGCGACCTACTTTTAACTCTAAATTCAGTATAAAAGTATTATCTGGTTAATAATACGTGGAAATAGCATTGAGGTAAATTATCAGGACTTTGTGCTTCAAAATTCCTTTCACGACAGTGAAATCTGCTTTTTATGTTCTTGCGGGCGAATGGACCCTCATTTAGCAATGACTACAGACTGACAGTTTGAGTCATGAAGTAAACTATCTTGCCTAACAATGGATGTATTAGTTTAAGTATTTTGACGAGTATCTCACCATGTTAACTTTTATAGTAATATGTAGCGGATAACGACCAAACTCGCCATAAAAATAGCTGCAATTTTGTGGAATCTTTAACTCCAAATAATCTCCGCAAAAAATGAATATGTTCTTATTCTATATATTTAGCGTCATGCATTCCCCTTATATCAAATCAGTAGTTCTGTATTTAAAAAAGAACGTTTTTAAAATGAGATCAATCACCTTGAGCGATTCTGTTTTGAGTTTTAACCCTTTACCTCATATATACGCGAAACAACGCATTTTCGACCCCCCCCCCCCCCCTTTCTAAGCCTGAAATAGTGAAAACATGTCCTATTTGGGCCCCAAACACATGTTTTCGTTTGAGAAATGTTGCTTAAAAAAGTGAGCACTTTTTCGACGCCGCCCTTCATCCAAAAGATACATCAGGGGGTTGCCAGAAGGGGGATGTGCCCCCTTCTGTTTGGGGGGTTTGAAGGGGGGCGGAGTGCCCCTCATCGCCAAGAAAATTTTGGACTTATGAGAGGCTTAAAATGACCCCAGGTCGATCATAAGGTAACGTGTAACCAACACTGAAAAGCCTTTGACTCTATCTCAATCCCTTGAGAAGTTGCAGCACTTTGAAATAAATTTTGATGGAAAAAATCAAGGCAAAATAGTGATTTTTGGCAATTTTGAGATGTCCCCTCGTTGCCATGGTAACAGGAAATTTAAGACTGAGCATGTCGTTACAAAGGCAATGGTCCAGTCAACATTTGTGCCAAGTTTGATTAGTATTAAAGCATTTTTCATAGTTTCATAGCAGATTGAACTTGTAAGAGGATACTTTTCAGTGAAAATGGCCATTTTTCACAATATATGTTCATGGGGGAAAGGGTTAAAAGAAAGTTGTTCAAAGGTATTTGAATGAATCTACAAGTACATTTGGTGTCCGTCCTGTAAATATAAAAACTATGTTCAGTATACCTGCTTTTTAAAACAAAACAAAATTAATGCTTTTGTTTTAAACGTATTTATTATCAAACCCTATGTCAATATCCGTTAACATTGCCTGTAAAGATTTCGTAGATTTGCAGGTGAGGTCGCATGCAAATGAAATGAGAAAAAGTTCGTTAATTGTAAAATACTTTCTTAGTCTATGTTAATACTGTCTCAAAGATCCTTGACGAAGAACATCATCAGAGATGAGCTCGGATATTCCCGTGTTGGCCAAGCATGTGAGGATAAGATAGTCAGAATATACTCTATGCCTTATACATGATTTGGCATTCGAGTACATTGATTTTATTGCTTGACAAAAATCGTGTGAAATAAGCTTTTGCCATAAAAACGACCTGAAGCATTTTTCACAATCATTTAAAAATACAATATAATTAATTACCAGAATTTAGAACGTTTGATATAACTGTGTGAAAAAAAAATAAAAATACAGACACAGATATCAAATTGTTCATTCCATTGTGTTTGTGCTGACGGTAATTTCTTGCATAGCAGACTGGCGTTTCCGTGAGTTTTACCCATGCCAGAAATTTCATCTGGCATGGGGGGTGCCAGATGAGTCGCGTGCCAAACAACAACGTCATTTTAGCGCACTTTATGAATGAACCGCGTTTAAATGACGTCGTTTTAGAAGGGAAATATGTGCTTAGGGTGACGTCATTTCGCCGTTGTTATTTAAGTTGTAAGTTCATACGCTATTGTAAGAAAATAGTTATGGATGAAATGACTTTAATTTCCATGAACATATATCATATTGATGTAAACCATTTTAGATATGAAATAATATGACAGAATATGCAAGAAAAAATATCTAACATATGTTTGCGGTTCAGACCGGAATATCCGTCCCTCGGGAACCCGCCCATGGGCGGTAACTCGGCAAGCCTCGTTACCGCCCAATGGGCGGGTCCCCTCGGGACGGATATTCCGGTCCGAACCGCAACATATGACAGGCGTTGCGGTTCGGACCGGAATATCCGTCCCGAGGGGACCCGCCCATGGGCGGGTTCCCGAGGGACGGATATTCCGGTCCGAACCACAAACATATGTTAGATATTTTTTCTTGCATATTCTGCCATATTATTTCATATTTTAAATAGTTTACATCAATATGATATATCTTCATGGAAATTAAAGTCATTTCATCCTTAACTATTTTCTTACCAATCTCCACGCAGTGATCTCCCCTTAATTCTTCGGCGTAGATCTCTGCCACCAAGGTCCCAATATATCAGAATTTCTGATATAGAGCTCTACTATATTTTTTCAAAAATTGTTTTATCTACTGCTTTTATCTATCAGATAAGTTTTCTCTCATTTATGTAACAATGTTTATGAATAAATAAATAAATAATATGAATATTCAGAAATAATTTTAAAAAATATGAGATTATTTTCTACCGAGACGATATTTTGATATTTTATATTTTTTAGCTTTTGAATTTATTTTCGTTATTTTGTATACTTTCGATAATTTTTTGATAAACTATATCGAACGTAGGCACTAAAAGTTAAAAATAAAACAGAAAGAGAAAAATAACGTTAGATTTTCTTTGTAACGGTCGATATTTACATTTGAATTTCGACGTTACGTCATGTGACGTCTTTGAAGGCAGTGATTACAATTCTGCCAAGGGAGGTAATCACTGTGAGGAGTTTGTTTTCTTACAATAGCGTATGAACTTATAACTTAAATAACAACGGCGAAATGACGTCATACTAAGCACATATTTCCCTTCTAAAACGACGTCATTTTAACGCGGTTCATTTATAAAGTGCGCTAAAATGACGTTGTTGTTTGGCACGCGACTCATCTGGCACCCCCATGCCAGATGAAATTTCCGGCATGGGTAAAACTCACGGAAACGCCAGTCTGCTATGCAAGAAAATATTAAGCTGCTTTTAAATTGTCACATTAATTTATCGTAGACTGGAGATTTATCATTATTTTGAGAACGCTCATAACTCGTTAATTATCTTTAATTTCTGCATCTAGATATTCATAAAGTAATTTTTCATAAAAAATTTTGATTTTCATTCGAGCTTTCCCCACCAAATAATGTTTTAAAATGGTTGTAAAGTTGTTCAATCATTTAACGTATCAGTCTTTTCATTATCTTTATATATGTCAAAAGTTACGGGGTTCACAAATGGAGAAGGCAGAACATAATTGGACAGTTTTCAAGTTTATTTGCTAATTTGTTTAGTTGTTAGATACTATACCAAAGTTACTGTTAAGAGTATTGAACTCATTTTGTTAAAATTTCTGTCTTATTTTATTTTCAAGAATATTTAGTTAGTTACCAGGAAATAAAAATCATTCGCTTTATCAAATAGCATGGAATTCCCTAGAATATTTCTTTAAACTCAAACACGTCAATTGTGTTTCAAAAACAGCTTGTTTGTATGAAAACTGAACTACTGTGTTAAACATTATACGAATGAACAGTTGCATACGAGACTAGTAGAAAACATCATATATAATTACTGCGGGGGGGGGGGGGGAGATGCTAAGTGACTAAGACAGTTCCCTGGTAAGTTTCAAACTTAATTGCTAAAGAATACTACAGTCACTGTCCTCTCTTCAGCATTATTTCAATTTTGTACGGATAGACATACGGTAATTGTTACTTTTGAAGCCGACGATCACCAACTATCGACTATTGCACGCTACTAAATTTGCCTTTATCAGAAATTATTGCCATGTGTCTAATAATGAAACAAACACTACTTGCAGCACCAATGTTCAGTGTATTTTTACGAACAGCACTGACTTTACAGCTAAACAATATTCAACAGTTCAACAGTGACTGTATACAAAAAGGAGTGAAAATAAAAAAAAAACATGACACATGTTATATAAAAAGCCATTAAAACAGTTCCATCTAGGAATATAAAAAAAGATAAATATTGATTGGAAAATATGAGAATTAAATGTTTTCCCATTGCTACAACATGTTGCCTGGGGCCTTGTTGCAACTACTCATGTATGGAAAGTTACGTGATTTTATCTTTTCCTTTTAGCTCCACGACGCATTTGCCATTGATCCGGAACAAATCTGCTCTGACGAATTAGTGTTTTTGTTTCTTAGTTAATATTCATTGTACATGTATATGTATTTTACAACACAACAGGATAAAAAGTAATACAGAAGTTGTTATACAAAATGGCTTGCGAAACTGGTATGATGTACTTTTTTTCTATTTATCAATTGCATGATATATAATCCGTTTATACAATTTAAATATCATGGATATTCGTTCGAGATTTACACATTTAACAAATATTTATTACTTTATAATATATATAATATATATATATATATATATATATATATATATATATATATATATATATATATATATATATATATATATTATAATATATATATATATATATATATATATATATATATATATGTATATGTGTGTGTGTGTGTGTGTATTACAAGCTTAAGGCTACATTACATAATATCATATTCTGGATGATATATAAGTAAGGTAAACTTCTTGTCAAGCTCATCCTATTTATATATCGCATATTATATATATTAAAAACCGTCATCTGACGGTACGCACATTGATTTTAAAGTGATTTTCAATAAAGTATTATTTAATAAAGGTTTTATATGACTTTTAATGGTGATATGAAAAGAAAAGAAACAAACAAAAGAAAACGATTTTCATACAAATTTTAAACCATGTTAAAAATCAAGTAGCAATCGAGGTGTGTGGTTATTTCAATAAAGTCATTTATAATATATATCAACGGATGACTGAAATATCTTTTAAAAATTATTACTCTGATAATTGCTATATATTGTATCCGGTTTGTGAATTACTAAAATGTAATGTACATTGTATTCACATTTTAAAATTCTCTTATCACAACAGCTGATCATTGACATCCTGTACGAAATTTTCTGCACGGAAATGGGGCGGAATTCAATGGCATATTCCGCCTAGAAATTAAAATTCTCCCCCAAATATACAAGTGTTAAACCATTTGCTTTTTGGCACGGATTTCCGGCCGGATTCCAGGCGGAAACGGGACGGATTCTGGGCGGAATTGGGACGAAATATGCAAATGAGTTGGAGCGGAATCTTGGGGCGGAATTTTAAAAGCGGGAATCTTGGGGGGCGGAATTACGAAGAGGAATCTTGGGCGGAATTTCGGAGCGGAATTGTCAAAAAAGATTCTGGGCGGAAAATTCTGGGGGCGGAATTTTTATGAGTTTAACATGATCACATTTTTGGGATAAAATTATCAATAATGTATTCACATTAAATTTTCTTTCATAAAATTTAATAACATTATCCTTAAGTCCAAAATACAGAAAAGAATACCCTACATTCACAAAATCACAAACAGTTTTTTTCCAGCTGAGGTTTTGGGTAGATACTGGTTTTTCCCCTAGAAATCCAACCACTTTGTTTTATGCAATTATTTTGCTGCCGAGTGTTTTGAATCATAAATTTGTTTTCAATGTTTCTGATTATTTAAATAACTATTTCTTTAATTGATGTCTGTTTTAAGTCCACTGCCTGTGTTCCTAGAACTTCTTGTGGTTGACGCTCACCTTTAATAATAAAATTCATAATAAATTAAAAAGAAAATGTTGTAATTGATTTATGTTTTATTGCATAATTATATGCAGTTATATTTTTATATTTTTTGATAACATTCAAATTTTATGTTTCCAACAGTATTAAATATTAACTGTGGCTTTTGCATATTCAAAAATACTAATTAAAGCTTACACAGTGATTTTATTTCAGTGCACAAGTGTTTAAGAATTGCTCTGTATAAGAATAAATTAACTGCTTTTATTTGTGACACTATTTATTACTGGGTTTAATGTATTTTTTCAAGGAAGATGTTGAATAGTAAAAAAGTATTGAGATTTTTAAAAATATAACCTTTTCAGGGATTAATACTGGCACATCTTTATTGAAACACCTTGTATCTCACAGTCAGGCACTTAACTCCCAGTCTGAAAATATGAGTTGGTAAAAATGTAATTTAGATTGTTCCATTGGAACACAACACGTACATGTAAATAATAATAAAAAATTGGAAAAATTTAAATGAAAAAATGGGGAAACCCCCTGTTCAACTGTACAAAACTTCTGAATTTTGTACCGATTTATTCTATTTAATCAAAAATTGATTTAATTTGTTTAATTTCCAGGAAATGAAAAGATCAGTACTACATGCTTTTATTATACAATAATATACACCATTCATTAAATACAATCATTGAATAATTTATATCTTACAAATTATACAATGTATTAAAGATTTAAAACAATTATAAAGAAAACAAAATGTATGAAGTTGAAAATAATAAAAACAACATTGAAACCTTGCCTACAAATTTTAGTTTGCTACCAGTGATAGTTTGATATAAAACTGTTTTCTGCATTAAATTATTATTATTATGTAACTTTAAGGCTATATAATTACTGATTATGTTGTACATCTCCTTGTCCCATGTTATCAAGAAACACTATTTATCATACAAATTCTAAAACACTTTGAGATCATGAACAAAACTATATCTCCAAAATTGTTAAAATATCAAAGTACATCCTCAGTAATTTGCACTCTTTTTTGCTGACCCAGATATCTTAGAATCAAAATTCCACAACTGTAATACACTGCATGGACAGGTCAATCATTATGTAAAACAGGGTTATTTACTCATCATCTTAACTTTCATTTATTGAATGTAAAACATATATTCAAGTAACAAAATAAATATATAGATTAGAATTTAAAAATCATTACAATTTTTGTACAAAAGAAATTGCAATGTCCAGACAAATTCTGCTTATATATTTATAATGTTTATCTCTCCAAAATAATTCAATGGAATAGTCCGATCCTGTTGGAATGACCAGTTGAGTAAATTAGTCATGCATAGATCCGTGGGAAACTGCTGGTCACAGTGGAGTTTTATCAGAGCTCTGATCTGTGTAGTGTAAACTCTCTGTGTATATATTAATTGTAGTATAAACTATTTACCTAAATAAAAGCAATTATTGGGCATATTGGTTGATCAATTTTATATAGATTTATAAGGGCATTCATATATGAGATTATTTCATGCACTGTTTTTGTTATTTTTTATTAAGAATTCTTAGAATTTAAAAATGGCAAGCACACTATCTTGTCCTGTGGCTGTCCTATATTTCTACAGTAATTCAAATTTAAACCGCATTCTTATTTCAATGTTGCTTTCAGATGATGTCATAAATTCATAATAAGTACATGTCATATACACAGCTGTTTGAAAAAAACGCTTTATATTATAAACTTAAGCATTTTGGAGGTGAATGTTTTCAAGTTCTACACTAGATTTATAATTAACAGTTGTTTTTCAGTACAAAATGTTTGCTTAATTAGTCTGACAAATAATATACATTTTGCCATAATATCTAAAAATAAGGCCTATTTTAAGTCTAAAAAAAAAATAAACCTATTTATTTTAAAAAATACACCTGTAATTATTGTTCAAGTATCATGCTTCAACACAAATAATAAGTACAGTTAGTAAAATTTCAATGTCCGCAAATACAAAACAAGAGTACAATTATGATTTAGACATCTTATATGTGATGTGAAATTCTGTTCACAGAAAATGTTTAAGTATAGAATTCCGCCCATAGTGGACCATTCCTTCCCAAGAAAATTTCAAAAGTTGAAAAATTCTGTCCACGATGAAAATGTTTAAGTATAAATTCTGCTCCAAATAAAATTCCAGCCGGAATTTTTTTCTAGTTTTCCGCCCAGAAAAGTAACAAAATATTTTTCTTGTGAGACGGAATGACATGGAATTTGCGTTTCCGTCCCTGGGTCGCCCCACGAAATCACTGATTCCGTGTCAATTCCGTGCCAATTCCGCCCAGAATCCGTGCCAAAATTTCGTACAGGATATAGTTAATTATTTTCTTTAAAATTACATTTTTTTAAATAATGAAATATTTAGTATTATCAACCCGTTTGTACTTTTATGATATATATGTTTTGCTCAAACTCATTTGTTAGCTGAAACAAAAACGTCAAAGATTACTATTTACTATTCAGGTATTTGAAATCTACAGTTTTTGTTGTAAAACGAGCATTAGGTTTTCTACGAGTAGGGAAATTATATCAAGGGAGGGGATGTTGTTTAAACCTATTTAAATTATTTCATGTAAGCTAGATTGGTCAACAAATTTCAACATCATTAAACAAGAAGTATCTTTAAAAAAGATACTCGGCCTAAGTAAAACAGGTTAACATGCAAAATTATATTATTTCTTAGTTTTCAATACAAAAAGAAATGTTACCAATGCTTGCATGATAATGACATAATAATCAATTATTGTAGGTAAGAAAATACCCATTTTGTAAACATTGACATTAAATTATAGCATATTGATATTGCTGATTTTTTTTCAAAGTAGGACAACTTCTATTTAAGGTGTCCCTTTTCCTTGTTCTACGTTTGACTTTGTAAATTTGGTAATCATTTACAAATTAATCTAAAAGTTAATGAACTATACTAATTCCTGTACATTTTATTTTAGGACTATCCCTTACATTTTATCTTAGAGTTGTCCTTAAAATTTTATTTTAGAATGGTAAGAACTATCCTTTACATATTAATTTAGAATGGTTAGAACTGTCCTTTACATTTCATTTAAGATTGACCGATGAGATTCACCGACTTCGGTTAATGACCAGGGAAAATTCTTCTCATATTCAGTCCTTCCCTGTTAATTTGACAGGAAGTCAAATTGATAAAACGGACTTCGTCCGAAAAAAAGCAAACACTCTGGTTAGAAATGCAGCCACTTTTTTGTGTCCTTTTTTGCAAAGACTTAAAATATAGACACAATTTCATATTGACATAAAGTCATGTTATTCTGTCTTTCATTATTTATTTTCCCTAAATTAAATTATGCCCCACTTCTTTTTGAATAAATGAATTAAAATTTTATTGGAGGTGATGAAGATTTTGTTAGCCAACTTAATGAGGATAGTCAAAGGAAAGCAAAAGAAGAGCTTCACGAACTAAATGATAAGGATCGAGCTATAGCTGTACAGACACTGAGAAAATAGGTTCTTGAAACCGACTGGCTAAAATCGCCTACAGGTAACTGCTTTGCGATAATTAGTAAAGGTTTTGAATGATGTTATGAATGAACATGTAATTAATAAAATATACTTTATAAGATTATTAATAAGTTTCAGAAGAAAAGTATTCTAACTAAATCGTCAAGGTGATGATTTGATTCGGAGTTATAAGCCTTTATATGACTGCGTTTATTATACAATTTTCTGTATTTAGCTAAACGAACTGCTTGGCATTTTCATGTCGCATATTAAAAGAAAATCAACAAAAAACAGGAAACATAGAATAAATCTTGTACACGTACAGTTGATTTTGAGCGACAATGAAATAATGATGTACATGTATACTTGTGATGTTTGCTGCATAATGGACATTTTTTTGTAAATTCTCATTGCAAGAGTCTGGTAATCTATTCCTTATTCTTACATATTGTGTTAATTAATTAAGGCTACACACCCTCTCTAGTTAAAATTTCCAACTCTTCAAAGATTTCAGTTTCCTGCTACGATTTTTGCGGACAAGAAAGTTCAGTCAACTTGGTGCGAGACAGAATTTAGAGAACTATTGGACATTGAGGACAAACGCTCCAGAATACTTCAGAAATATTGACCCAGCTGATCCAACTCTTCAAGCTATTTTGAAATTAGGGTAATATTTAGAAACATTTCAATTCTAACAGTAAAATTATTTATCTATGCCGCTTGTAATTATTCAGGGTATCATGAAAGTCAATGTTGTTTGAAATAACTTTTGTTCTTGACTTTATGAGTCTAATATCTAAATATGAAAAAATCCATTTGGTTAACAACATATGCGAGTTAGAAACCATGGCCATGGATATAGATTTATGGGGAATTTAGTTATGAAATCTGTCACCAAAGTAACAGGATTGTTATTCAACACACCATATGCGTCTTGTGAAACTTACAAGAAATTACATGTATATCACTGAATTGCAACTCTAAATTGTACGCTGCAAAAGTATAATTTAAAACATAAATAAATCAAAAAGGATATTTCAGAATATCGGCGGAACAATCGACTCCATTCAAAATTTCAGTACATATTATTATCGTTTGTAATTTACCAACGTTTCTTTATGAATTATTGCTGGTAAATTGTCAATGCTGAGCAATTACTATTTCAGTGGAAAGAACTACAATACGCTTCTAGCTTTCAGTTCAACCCACTTAAGTACTACTATAACATGATATTGTATTGAATTTGTAAAAATATATATGTTAAAACAAACCATTTTCGTTTGTTAAAGAAGGTATATATATAAAGAAGGTATATAAATATACAAATGTAACTTTCACTATAAAAGCTCCATTGTAATAATGAAATACATTAATATTATATTTTCAAATTCACTATTTTCATTAGCTTGTCGATTTAAATCACATCACGTGACATGCACTTTATGGCTCTTTGTTTTGCAGGTTTTGCTTTAGTCCGAAGAAACTTGACAAACATGGCAGACGAGTGCTTATATTTCGATTGGGTAAGGGCATGATGTCATTTTGGATCATAGATTCAAATGCTTTTAGTAATAGGAATTTAAACTTCTTGAGCTTTTACTGGGGAAATATGAGAGGGGAGATATGCTGTACATTCCATCATCTAATCATGAAGTAGCAATTAAAAAAATGTTTGTGTTCTCGAGGAACATCCCCTTTCATAGAGTTTTTACATTCGTAGAATCATTATATTAAATACTTGTGTGTTTAAACTGTTGTGAGCAATATTTCACTTCTAAAGAAGTCTTTGCAGCTTAAGATACTGCGTTTGTACCATTACTTTAAAATGATATGACCACTACTGCACTACGGTGACAAAACATAACAGTGATATATTCTAATACCATCCGAGATTTGTATTGTATATCTTTGTAGGTAAAATAGATGTTGAGCAGTGCAAGAAATGGGGACTTGATAACCTCTACAAAGCCTGGTGTCTTGTTTTTGATTGGATTGCATTTGATGAAAACGTTCAAGTAAATGGCATTGCGACTTTTGATGACCACTCTGATATTACCTTGAACCTTTTCATGAATGTAGTCACACCAAAAATGTCAAGCGTTATGTTCAAATACTTCCAGGTATTTATAGCTTTACTTGGCTATTTTATAGATGTTGTTCATCTTACTTATGATTTCATTTTTGTTTCAATTATGTGGATGAGATGTAAAACTGATTTGATTTTTAATGATACATTTTGTTCTAGATTTAGATTACACAAGATAACATCATCGAATAACCCTATCAATCATTATGCTTTTTTAAGAATAATGCGTATTTATTAGTAGTTAATTTGTTAGAATCTATACACGTTATTGATTCAAGAAATATCTTTTAGTCTAGATATACAAAACTTAATTTTCATATTGTGTTTTACCGGCTGAGTTGTAAATTGAATGCCCAAAACGACAGGATTAAAAAAAATGTAGGTTCGGTTTGATTGAGTCTATTCATAGACGGTACTGGTTAGTGCAAATTACCATCAACGCCCCTATGAATACATTTTTAATCGATATTTCAGAAAGCTTTACCGATGCGAATCAAGAGCATTAATGAATATAAAGAGCCTGCGTTCTTTGATGCGATGATGGCAGTGGTTGGCCCTTTCTTGACACCAAAAATTAGAAGCAGGGTATGTATATATTTTCGGTCCTGATTTAAACAACTCTGCCAAGACAAAAAAACATTTCAGTGTCATGAGATCATAGTCCTTGCCTAGACTGATGTCGATAAAACATTCTGAGGGTTTTGTTGTTTTTTTTTTTACAAATTAATTTTTATAATGTACATTATAATGTACATTATGTATTTATAAGTGTGTTAAACTCACCGACGAAATAAATATTTTCTTATATATGAATCAGACAAGCTAGATAAGATTACAATGTTGAATGTTTGTTGATTCTATGCTATTTTATTATCTTGATGCTTAATCATCTATACCAACAGCCGCTTTAAATTTATTAAGTATTATAAATTTGTTATATAGACTTGACATGTTGTACAACCGTGTATAAATAATTATTATAATAATCTTAGTTGTTATATAATTGTTTAAGCTTGGTCATGTTACATGTCAAATTCTTTATAACTAACCATCCTTATATGTACATACATATAAAAGTATAAAGTATACACAAAACGCACACAAATAGATGTAATTGCACATGTGATATTTTCGCAGCAAGTTTTACATGGGCGTAGCATGGTAAAGATATACGAAGAAATAGGACAAGAAGTTCTTCCTAGGGAATACTTGCCGGACGAATACTCTGGTAAATGTGCCGGAACAACTAGTCAAATTATTGGTATGTGTTAGTGACACATGATATTGTTGTACGACGAAAAAAAAAACGATTTTTGATGTTCATTTCATTGTTAAATAGGCAATTTTATAATTTATTATGTTATTATTATATGCCCGAAAGGGCATATTATGTTATACCCCCTGGCGTCCGTCTGTCTGTCCGTCCGTCCGTACGTCCGTCCGTTAGCAATTTGGTTTCCGGAGCATAATTAAGTTCCATTTGGCCCACAATGTTCAAACTTCATAGGATGATTGTCCATATTAGGTAGAAGACCCCTATTGATTTTGGGGTCACAAGGTCAAAGGTCAAGGTCACTATGACCTTACAACTGAAAGCATAACTTAAGTTCCATTGGACCCACAATGTTCAAACTTCATAGGATGATTGTCCATATTGGGTAGAAGACCCCTATTGATTTTGGGGTCACAAGGTCAAAGGTCAAGGTCACTATTACCTTGGTACTGAAAACAGTTTCCGGAGCATAACTTAAGTTCCAATTGGCCCACAATGTTCAAACTTCATAGGATGATTGTCCATATTAGGTAGAAGACCCCTATTGATTTTGGGGTCACAAGGTCAAAGGTCAAAGTCACTTTTACCTTAATACTGAAAACAGTTTCTAGAGCATAATTCAAGTTCCAATTGGCCCACAATATTCAAACTTCTTAGGATGATTGTCCATATAAGATAGAAGACCCCTATTGATTTTGGGGTCAAAGGTTAAGGTCATTTTTAATAACTTAAGTATTAATCAACCTACAGCTGTAAAATTTTATAGGATGAACAGCGAATTCCCATGTCTTACAAATGCTTCATCCTTACTAAAAAAAAAAGCACTTTCGGGCATATAATGCTCCGCCTAGCGGTGCTCTTGTTTATATGTTAGTTATATTTGAACACCTAAGTTACATACATAAAGACATATGACTTGATTTCATTATTTAGGATTTTGGTGAGAACCATGATAATATACATGTATAAAGTATTTGTTTTATATCTATATTGAACTCTGTACATACAGTAATTTTGATGATCATTATCCCACATGTATTTGGTAAAAGAACATTATCCTTCCAAAATTCCAAATTTACTTAAAGTAGTGTGATCTGTTTTGTACTTTTAGACGAAATGATTACCAGCATGAATGAAAAGAAATTCAGGGATTATATAATGGATGTGAGTGGTGACAAATATGGTGTTGATGTCAAGATAAGAAAACAGGATACAACAACCATGGATGCTTCTTTTAGAAAACTTAACATCGATTAAAACATTCTGATTGTTAAATTACGTACACAGAAATAGGATGTGACCAAATGAATTTATACCAGCAAATTTTGAAGAGTAAATACAAAACAAAAACAATAGTAATTTAGATGCTTTATAGATATTTAAGTTTTAAAACTCATTTGTTTCATTAAATCATTTAATGGTTTGCATTTATGTTATAACATGTTCTTATCCAACTGGCGGAGGAAGTGGTCCCGATAATGTTGTAGTCGGGGGTGTAGTGGGTGTAGTAGGTGGAATGGGTGCATCCACTATAGTGAAGTTAAATTTAATACATCCAATGTTTCCTTTAGACGTAGTACTGTCCTTGACGGCTAGCTTTAACATGTAATCACCCTGAAATAGATTAATCTTGGTGTTAGTTTAAATCCATGGCCTACATTATGTCACAACTGTTTCTGTTTTTGTCATTTATATTGTTGTTTTGCTCATAGATTGATGTGATAGAATGAGTAAACTGTTTCTTACATGTATTTTGTCTGTACTGTTTTTGTAAAGTTATGGTAATTATGTGTTTCAATATAATGAAATGGGAATAAACGTATTTATTGTGAGTGGCGTTTCTTTGACTTCTATGTAACTCGGGAGCGTTAAGACAAAATATGCTGCCTTAAAGTTTGTAATATATTAGCTCACGTGTAATATTTTGCGCAGTAGATCTGACAAAGGTTGCAGCTTGATGGTAACTGTTTTATCTATACTTGGTGTGGCTAATATAGGACACCCGTTATGCCTACCGAGTGGAGTTGTTAATATTTCATCAATTTGTTCCTCAAAACTTGGCGTGTCTGTTGAGGCAGTACGATTGTTCCTATAGTCTATCAGTGTGCATAGGTCAATGTTTTTGCTACAGAAAATAAGACAAAGTTAATGGGCTTTAAAATACAAAAAAGGCTGAAATATATATCATTTCTTATTAAGAATTTCATATTTATGTACAAGCATAGAGTATCAAACTCAGAAAAAAGTAAGATGTAAAATTAGTCAAGCTATTATGATAGTGCTAAACTAAAAAAAACACAATGGCAGTCTAATCCTTAAGGAAAATCTAAACCTTATGTTTGTAGCTGTATAAAACTAAATTATTCAGTCCATTCATATTTATTTTAATTGACCGTTGAGGAAAACTACAGTAAAATAAAAAACGTACAATCTCATATAAAAAAAGAGGAAAACTAAAAAATGTTGCATTCTTGAGTTGATTGTGTCTGTTCATAGGCGGTTGTGGAAGGCAGGCTACGGACCCTGCTACCACAGAGTTTGTAATATTTACAATCTTGGCTTGCTGGTCGTCTTTTTTTAAGTACATGTATAACAATATAAATGTGTGAAAGATAGAAATATGATGCAATTACAAAATAGAAAATAAACTTTACCATGTGCCAATGTAGGTTCCTTGAATGCATGGGACTTCGGTTACATTTCCACTTAAAGAGTCTACTTTGTAGAGATAGGTATCTATGAAAGGATGTGATAATGTTCGCAGGATTTTCAAATGAACACGCATGTGTAGATCACCCGGAAATATCACTGGTAACGGGTACATGTCAAAGTTCAACCAATGATATACTGTACTTAACACACTCGTCTCTGTGATAATGTAAATAGCTCCATCAATTTCAAAATAAATTCAAATAATTAATGACAGAAATGTTGATTAATATAAGTGTCATAAAAAGATGTAAAGACTGTCATGTTTTTGAATTTAAAACCCCAAACTCGTCTGTGTAATTTTGTTAAAGTTCTAAAACCGTTTTACTTCCGTTAGTTGAAGGATTCTTCATTTAGTTGTTTCGTCTATTATATGTACAACATGAATGCATGCAATTATATAACATTACATATAAATTTCGAGTTACTGATTTTTTAAAGAACAAAAATAAAACAAACCTACCGCAGTTCTCGAACTGAAATGCCCATGCTGTTGTTAAGCACGTTAGAATTATTAAACTTACTTTCATGATTTCTACGTTACGTTTGAACTTTTAAACGCGATGAAGAACTAAAAGGAAAAGCAAGATAAGAAGTACTTTAGTAAATTTATGGCGTGTTGTGAATGAATTAAGTAAGGTCAGCTTAGTTTATTGACACATAAAGGCACACAAAGAAATAATAATATTCACATATAATACACAAGTTCTAATCTACCTGATTGTGTTCAAGAGCAAATTTGTTATTATTATCGGGATTAAGAAATAACCTAAATCATATAAAACAAAAACCTCACATCCTCTCTGGAAAACTACCATGCTAAAATATTTTTTATAAACAAAATGAGCCGCGTCATGACAAAACCAACACAATGCGTTTGCGACCAGCATGGATCCAGACCAGCCTGCGCATCCGCGCAGTCTAATCAGGATCCATGCTGTTTGCTATCAGTTTCTATATATACTTGTCATAGGGTTTATAAGCGAACAGCGTGGATCCTGATCAGACTGCGCAGATGCGCAGGCTGGACTGGATCCATGCTGGTCGCAAACCCACTATGTTGGTTTTGTCGTCACGCAGCTCAAATGTTTGTTACATAATATATGATTATATCAATACGAATGTCTTTGCTGGTATTCGAACCCCATTGATGAATAGAAACTCACATGTTTATAATTATCAACTATAATTAAGTCACTTTATATCAGTAATATCGAGTTAAAGTCTACAAGATGAACTTAATGGTTTGAACAAAATTACATTTTGTGTTCCATTGTAATGCTGTCGCTTTGTCGAGCTGTACGGTTGTCAATCTGTCCGAAGATTGACACAACAGTGGACTGACCGGGACATCAATTTCTAGTTATAATATAACAAAGATATATTATAATGGAAAGTTCTAAAGGAGTTATATAAACAATATATATGACTTAATGTCTGCGATAAAAATCAAATTTCTTATCCGCAGATCGGGCACATGTGAATGAAGTTCAGATTTCAATAAACGCATGCGTCAATTGTCAAAGGAAAACGCAGGCGAAATCGAATACATTACAATGCAGCCTAAAACCCAATGTCCGAGATCAAACGGAAATATTACGCCTTGACCGAAGATCGCACGAACCACTATCCCCTGAATTGCTAACCTGGTGCTCTCGCTATTGAGCTAAGCGAAATGAAGATCAACACAGGGAGAAACGGCACAAAAAGTGATGGAAACGGCGGATCAGTCACCAGACGAAAAATCTTACTTTTAATGATTTATTCTTATATTTTCGGGTGAATTTTTGGTTTCCCGCGTCATAACGTTACGATATGATATGCACATGTATTCTACAGTTATTAATAAATCTTCATATCTGTTAAATTAAACATTGCTCGCCTTTATGATACCGATGAGTTCAAATTTGCCTTACAAGATATCGATGTTGGACAAGGTGAATTGCATTACCCATCTAACATTGACTAGATCAGTTTATTATAATTAAATGAAGTACATTGCATGACTAGGATAAATAACACAAACTTATTGTTTTCTCTAAAATGAAAGCGGGCATTAAAATGGCAGTGTTAATTGACAAGGATTTAACAAATAACCGGATGTACACGTTTCTTTTATCAGTAAGATAACAGCATACTTGTATTACAATTAAGTGCATTTTGCTTTGTTGAGAAGGCGTATAGTTATGATACTTTGCAGTCAACTATTTATTTGCTTACACCATCAATTATGTAAAAAAGCAAAAATCTAAGAAAAATCCATCCATTTGAAAATCAAAATTTCACACCATGTGTCACACTGATATGTCCCATCAATCCACCCTTTGTTACCCCGTTCCTGTGAGTTGTTCTATTTGTGCGTTTCCCAATTTCTTTTTTCAGCTAACTTCTGTTTGGTTCATATACATGTATATTAAATTATATAGTTTAGCGACATAAAAAGCTAATCAGAAGTTATTAAAGCTCCTAAAATTAAATCATTTTCCTTAAACTTATTACTGTCTAGTATTATTTTTGAAATAAGGAATACTGTGAGGTCACTTTTGCACCAACTCTTTTCATATTTTCAATATTTCTAATTATGGTATCTGGCAGATTATGGACAAATTAAAAAAAGGCATATGAACAAGTACATATAACATAACAAAATATAAATTTTCAAATTTTAAATTATTTGTATCCTCTTAACAAGATCCGATCACATACTAGTGTGACATAATTGAATTAAATACTTTGTATGCATGCAGTTTCAAAGTTCGAGTTTGAAAAGTTCTGTAGTCAGAAACTATATTTATGTGACCCAAGCAATTTACAAATTACCAGCTTTCCAAATTAAGTAAACTTTTACAAGTTAACCGCGCAGGAGATTTAACCTAAGGCTCTTGTACCGTACATTTATTTTGTTATTAGTAAAGAACAACTTCCCAATCACATGTGCTTAAAATGTTTCTTTAAGATTACAGCAATTTGCTTTGGTATGATATGGCGCACATTTTGAAACGAATTTTGAACTATATTACAGTGTTTGTTCTTTCACATAAACAGTTAAAGCTTTAGTTTTATTTTTAAACATTAAACACAAATGTTCAAAAACAAAAACAATACAAATATCGGTAACCGAAATGAAAAACGATTATTTCATTTATTTAGACTTTCTGAAATAGTTCTAAAACGTTTATTTATGTAATTTTCTTCGTCAATTGTTAAGTTTCTCTTATCATGTAGTTTTTGAGCTGATGAAACATATGGGCGATATGAAATAGTCTTAACCTTTGAACGTTTCAAGTATGTTATTGTTATCTGTTTGTGTACGTTATTACATTTTTAACAATCTTTTCTTTGCAAACTATATGATAATGAGTATCAGTAAATATCATTCTTTATGTGTACAAGGTTAGCTTTTAAAAAAAGCTAGTAGCGACTCGCTTCGTAATTTCTTTCCAGGGGCGTGTTTAAATGTAAAAATGACAGTTCTGTTAGCTGAAAAGACTTCAGCGAACATCAAAATAAAAGTGACATATAAAGTTAAGGAAGCCAGTTCTCTCAGTTTAACAAAGAGGAATATGAGTATATATGAAGATGCATGTAAACAGATAGAATGAAGTCCCTATGTCTATGCACATTTACTATATGGGCTGTTGACATTGACCAGAACAAATAGATAAGTAGAATTCATAAAAATGTCTCTTTATACGAAGTTAAGTTGTAATATGTTATTTAGTATTGGACTTAGTGACAGATACAAGTCCTAAAGTAAACACAAGTTGTCAATCAATTCAGCCAGAAAAGCCGGGATCCTATTAAAAAATAGGATCCTGGAAATTGACCAGTTCAAGAATATAGTTTTCAGAAAAGCCGGGATCATATTAAAAAATAAAGAGATCCCACGAATTGGACAGTTCAAGAATACTGTTTTCAGAAAAGCTGGGATCGTATTAAAACATATAGGGATCCCGGGATTTGACCAATTCAAGAATATAGTCTTTGATTTTCCAATTAATTAAGCATATTATTATAAGTACTGTTATTTTGTTAGTAAATAGCTCTAAATATATCTATATCCTAAGTTAAATCAATTTAACTTTCATTACATACAATAAAAAAACCTAACGTTTAATGGCCGTTCATTACGACAATAATCAACACAAATATAGTTTATTAGTTTTTGCCCCTATTATCTTAAACGATCCCAGATCCCGGGCGTCCCGGATCCCGGCCAGTAAATACATACACTAAATACAGGAAAGGATGAAATGACCGGAAAAAAGGAAAAAGAAAAAAATGCACAGAACCAGAAGTCGTTTATGTTAATTAACCCAACGAAAACTTACTACAGAGTAAACAGGACTGGTGAAATCGCTAAATCAAAAGTCAGTGTAAATATGATTTACTGAAAAGAATCCATGAAAACAAACATTTTAATCATCATTATAGCTTTGCGCTCAAAACAATACTTGCTGCTTTTTAAAAATGGCATGAAAATTGAAGGTTTTTTGACGCTATATAAGATCAAATTTGGTTGGATCTAATTTTGGATCCTAGCCCTGATTAATAAATTTAGTAGAAAGCTGGAAGCTAAGCTTCGATTAAATTTTTGGATGGATTCGGAGTTTTAGGTTGTTTCTCAGTAAAATTCTAAAGTAATACCGGCTCGCCGTGGCGAGCTGGCAATATATATATGCATGTATATGATATTACAAATGATATATACAAATGTTATATACATCTGACATTGGCCAAACTTGTTCCAGAAGAATTTGTTTGTAGCGTAACATAACGCTTTTACAGATTTTACCTTTAGAAATAGCAACCTAAATGGCGGAACCCTGAGTTGTAAGGAGCATGACATTTATTATATTGTTTATATTGATGGTCCTTTTTGCAATGCAGGGTATTTTATTTTCCCATTGTAGCCCAGATCCTGTTTTGGTGTTTTCGTGCGACTCAAAACAATAAACTCATGTTTTGTCACCAGTCACCTTTATTCCATCGTGTTTACAGATGCATCATATTTGAACACTTCTCGTATGAATGTATCACTGACTTTTTCAGATTGGCCTTTTTGCAATAACGGTAATACAAATAGTCATAGCGTCGGAGAGTGAGGAAATAAGTATGAATTTCATGTCGTATCAAGATTTTATTAAAATGCAATTATAAGCAAATAAATATAGTAGTTTTAATTTTTCATAAAATGCTCGAAAATGAAATGCTAATTAAAAAAACATTTTAGCATCACTGGATCCACTCAAGTATCTCTTATATTGCCAAACGTAATTTATTTGAAATAAATTGAATTGCATGATTATATTTTAATTTTAGTTAATCAATCATTTCTTTACTTATTTTATTTTAAATTTATTAATCAAATTAACGTTATTAAAGCTCCTAAAATTAAATAATTTTCCTTCAAGGTCATTATGGAAAAGAGTTTATTCTTGGAATGACGGGTTATGAACGAATTCTGTACATAGCTTCTGAGGAAAAGGGCGTATATAATATTTCTGTACCCGACTCAAATCTAATAAAAACAGGATGGTTAGCTCAAGGAAGTACCAAAGTACATATCAATACGAATGTCTCTGCTGGTGTTGAGAAAAGCAGTGGTTTGCATATTGTTACAAGTGTCCCAGTCAGTATCATGATATCTGATAAAGGAAATGCAAGTGTGTACGGAGCTTGTTTGGCTTTACCTTCTTCCTTTATGGGAACAGTTTACATGGTTCCCGCATACAAGAGGCGTTTCTGCGGTTTTATTGTAGTCGCAATTAAAGATAATACTAGCGTAGCGATTATAAGCACATTAAACAAAACAGAGACTGCTGTACTTCCAAGTATATTAGACACATTAACATCTATCGGTTACGAAGAAGACATTTCAAGTACTATTGTATTAGCAGATAAACCTGTTTCTGTAATTGTGGGAACCTCAAGGAGCGATATAGAATTGCATTCAAGTATACTTATAGAACAGATATTGCCGTACGATGCGTGGACAAATGAATATATAATACCTCCTTTACCACCAAACTCAAACTTCACGATGCGGATTATGTCAATGGAAGATCAAACAGTCTGTATGTACATTAAGCATAATAGAACATGCTTTGATGTTCAATCCGTCACAAACATGAATCCTGTTGCACAGTCAGAGCCTTTAACAATTTCATCAAGTACCTCTATCGCTATCATACAACATGGGATGCATTATTGCAATCAGACAAATTATTCATCCGAAACATACCCATTTATGATAATCGTCCCCGGAATAAAGCATTATTTAAATAGATACAGTTTCGTTATTCCAGACTTTACAACTACAAACAATTATGTCGTTGTGATGATACAGACGTCTAGAGCTTCTGAATTAAAGCTTGATGATAAAGCGTTTGTTTCTCTTCACTCGTACAATGTAAGAACTTCGAAGGGACAATATCAAGTATTAATCTCAAGTATTTCAGTAGGCTTTCACCTCCCAGATGGAACGAAGTGTACAAGTTCGGTTTCTCGAGCCTACGGCTTTGCTTTAGGCTATTTCTTTGAAAGGAAATGTAAGTTTGCATAGATATTTATTAGATAATGAACTTGTTCTGAAAAATAATTTATGTAAAAATTATAATGTTGGTATATAAAAGGTTCAAAATATTTTGACCAAAAAGTTTATTCTCTCTTCTGTGTCTGTCTGGTGTCTTGCTGGGCTTCTTGTCGGTTTTGGGTTTTTTCGGGGAGTGTGTTCATTGAATGTTGTCCTTCCTGGTTAATCTTTGTTTTCATAGTTTACACATTATAAGATTATTTACATGACCAGTGGAAGACGAGACAGGGGTTATGAAGGTACTCAGATAATGATTTATGATTATGAACTTAACAAGATGTTATTCTTTTTTCAAGAGACACATTAACAGAAAAGAAAAAATAAATATACACTTTATTTTTAAATCTAATCGCATGTCCAAAATACAGCAGAACACAGCCATGTATTTAACAGTTGGGGAAGTTGGTCGACATGCTCTGCAACCTGTGGTGTTGGTACTAAGTTCCGTGTCAGAACATGCAACGAAACAAACAATAGTGGAAAAGGCTGTAGTGGGCACAGAGGCGAAACTCAAAAGTGTTTTTCAAAGCCATGTAAAGGTAAAATAAATAAATACCAGTAATTCTTGATTCTGTAATTATGTTATATGATTTAAAAGCTGTTCTCATTCTAAAATTAAAATTCAAGAAAAAAGTTATGACCTTCCAAGGTCCCTTGTATTCATTAATTTCAATCCAGTACTTTTAGCGTTTAAGATAAAATGTTACTTACACAGGCATCCCTTTTTCTATGAACCCTACGAATAGACTCAATATAATAAAGTCATTTTGTTTTTATTTTCATGAACATTTTTCTCTTTGTTTATTTTCTTTTTTGGCAAAGATTCATCAATTGTGGATAGGATAAGCTCATTATATATATGTTTTGAAATATGCTTCATTAACCTATTGATTATAGCCTTAATAAAACATGGATACAATGCTGCTTTTCGCTATGCTATGATAATGAATATATGATTAATCAAATGCTGAATGTGTTAGAACAAACTGATCTTTGTGGCTGCATGAACTTTAACAGTTTCAGATATAAATAATTTTGAGTTGTGGACATCATGGACCATTTGTTCAGTGAGCTGTGGTAGTGGTACACAATCTTGGGATGGTCTATGTAAAAATCGCACAGCTTGTCAACCAGAGGACTCATTCACAGAAATCCGGGAATGCAATAAATACCCATGTCCAGGTTTGTGCTTTCAACTGGAAAGTTGAATAACTACTTCATGTCATTTTAATGTTTCATAGGTTATAGTTTCAACAATTTTGATGTAGAAATACCCTTTAAATCCGAAGCAAGCAATGATTATTTCATTGAAAAAATATTGCATCAATATTGTTTCAAACAGCAACCTGCGAATGATTAAACAGAACATTTTAACAAATTTTCATCCAATCCTCATCCAATATGCACGTTCAAAAATGGTTTGTTATAACAAAGTGCATAATTCATGTTTGTTGCAGTGAACGGCGGATTCAGTTTCTGGGCCACATGGTCAGATTGTTCAGTTTCATGTCAAAAAGGAGTCAAACTCCGTTCTCGGACATTTGACAATCCTGCTCCTTCCAATGGCGGGGACTCATGCTTAGGGGCTAGGGAGGAAGCACACACGTGTTTCAAAGGACCATGCCAAGGTTTTTACTTTTAAGAACATTTTATTCTGTAGTGAACTACACAAAACTATATTTTAGGAAAATATACACTAAACACTCCATTTTTACAATGCATAATGAATAATCAATGCTACATATAAAGAGAAAATTAAAACCCGTTATTAAGCTGATAAATTGAATAATTATTATCATATAACGCAATTTTCACGATTTGTATCTGGTTTTATTTTTATACTGAGAAATATGAATAGAACTCATAAAATTCTTGAAAATTTAATAATCATTTCAGGAAACGATGTTAAGTCACAAGATAATATATGGGTTATATCAGCGTTTAGAGGTTTAATTATAGTTATTGTTATAATAATTGTAGTAGTAGTGACGTGTTACATGAAGAAAGTGTGTTCTTCAAATAATGGTAAGTACATACACCACAACTTGACTATTTAAGCCACTAGGGGCAGATTTTCATGGTATTTTTGACATGCTTCACATCTAACAGCCCTTTTTTGAAAAAGTAAAATAACCAAGACGTATTTTGCCTAAAAACTTTTTGTATAACTTCTTTGCAACATTTGAAATAAAACGGCAGAGAAAATATCACAAAAGATTCACTTAAATGTACTTTGTGAACAAAACAATCAGTTAACTGTCAAAAATTTGAAAATCCCGGGGCGGAGTTAATGGGGTCATGAACTTCAGATTGTAAACAAATACACGTGGCAGTGTTAACTTTCCAGTAGAAACTTGAAATATTACTCTAGGAAGGGAGCTGCTAATCAGTAATCGTCTGCTATAGTGTTTGTTTACATCAGCTAATTTTAGCACAGGTACAGCGTCCTTTGCATGATTTATCTGATAAACACGCCTACAAAATTCTCCCTACCAGGGAAGGGATTTTTGCGGGTTTCAAGTGTCAAGATAAGAACTTTAGCGCAATACCTTGTAATCCAAAACTACCATATGCACAAATTTATTAAGCAAGCTGAATACGGACCGCATCGGTTTTGTTATCCAGGGATTACTGTTTAGATTCACGGGCTTGCTAGAATCTCTCAGACATGTCTAACTGTCTTTTGTCTGTCAAAGCTGATTCAGAATTCATGTTGGATTAGTAAAATGCCACTTGTAGAAAATGGGTAATTACTGGTTTGTTGCCGAGTGGACTATCAACCTTGATATGAACAAAAAGAGGTGTTATAAAATCGACGTAAAACATAAACGAAAATCCTCTTGACTTAAAAATTGAGTAGTCATCTATAGCACCAAGAACCCAGGTAACTTATCAATGACATATTGGGTGGCTTTCCGATAATACTGTGGGATAAGCCGTTATCGGGACGATGTTTTGTGAAAGGCGCTCTACCGTATTGTTCTTATAATTGTATTCTTATTAAAGGTGCAATTGCGTCTTTGTCATATATACACACTCGGAAACATTAAAAAAATCCAAAATTTGGATTTTCATTTCTTTTAAAACAATGTCATTTATGATAAACTGATATTCCATTATTTTAATTATTTCATGATACCCAAGGTCGAGAAAGTTTTTTTCACGAAGATGAACCTGATAATAATATTCAACTGGAAGAATATGGAGACAATGCTATTCAAGCACAACAGCATGCTATTCAGGGTTCAGAAATATTTCATGATGAAGAGGACCTGCCTCGTGAAAATGGCAACATTCAACATAATGAATATGATTGTATCGAAGAAGGATTTCTGGAGGTTAGAGGCTGTTCTTTAGAATCATAAAGTTAATAAGTGTTGCGTGTGAACCACATTGCATTTACGTAATATACACATTGCAAAATCAAGATAAATTTTATTCTTTATTGTTAAAACCTTTTTTTAATTGCTGTTTCACATTATATTCTTTGTTTCAAAGTATGCAATGTCGATGGCTTTAAAATAAAGAACAAATATTATCACACACAAGTGCCCTGTGCAACAGAATATTGTGAAGGGTGTGTATTCCATGAACGATACTAGGCCTTCTTGGTCTTTCACATTTTGTATCATGTATCGAAATTATAAATGTTTATTTTCTCAAGGTGGTATACGTATATGTTTTGGTCTATCATGAATTCACTTTATCAAATATAAAACAGCTTTGATGATCTTTATATTTAATCAAAATATAGCAGATGACTGCTTTTTGGTATTGATTTTAATGTCAATGCATTTTTGTAAAATCATATTAAATCCTAATTTCTGGTTCTTGGGAAAGGCTCATGGGTATTGTTATCTTTGGATAACGATAATGTATTTGCAATTTTACAGAAATAAGTATTTTAAGCGTTTTTACTGAACATTCCATTTATTGTTTAACCCAGTGAAACATGTACAATAAATCCTATGTTATGCATAAAGACTGCGTACTGACGCATAATTAGGAAGCTTCTATCTGTAAATATTCAAAGTGATGGGTGAAAAACCTTATTTCTTCATTTAGATAATGATCGACACAATTAAGACTGTTTTCTGACATACATGACCCTAGTTTTAGCGATACTTGTCAACAAAATTAAGTATTGAGTTCAACTATACTAAACACCGTGTAAAATGTAGAGATTTCCCAGACTACAAGTTATATACAAATATTTCACCGGATATGTAGCGATATAAGGTATCTTAGATGAACTGTTTGGCGGTTTTTATGAAATCAAAAATATGAATGCCTATTCAAAATATACACTGCATTCGTTCTGCAAAAGTGGATTTATAGAATGTAATAAGCCGATGACCAAAGTCATCAAGTCATAAGTTTATAAATGTAAAAAAGTAATCAAAAAGTATCCAATGTTAAATTGTGGCAGTCCATTTTATGAACCGTCAATATAAAGCGGTAAATATGTTCTCTATTCATACAATACTTCTACAAGAATCTAGTCATGATTTATACAAATTATTTTTACTCCAAAGTTATGTTTTGCTTTTATTGTTTTCAGTAAAGATTTACTTACTTTTATTCATTGTATGTACATGGTCATTTCAGTCATTTTGCATAAAAGATTGATTGAGTGCTGAAATGTTGTTTTTGTCCATTAAATATTACGTAAAAGAAATGAATGACGTGTTTTCACTTTTGCTAATATAAGAACATTTATGAAGAAGAAAAAAGATATTTGTACGTTTGTACGTTTCAAATCTTTTTGCGTCCGTTTTTACCATTGTTGTTTTATGCTATAAGGTTATTATAAATTGGTGAGTACAATACTGAAATCTTTCGGACGAGTACATAGCTGTCAGAACTATATTGGACGATGCGCAAATCGAGTCTGATATAGGTTTTGAAGTTGTGTACCTGTCCAATAGAATCAGTATTGTTCTCAACTATGTTTAATGGCCTGTATTTCACACCACAATTTTTGACATTTTGAGAGAACTGTGTTACTTCAGTTACAAAAGTATGTGCAATGGATGTAGAAATGGCATTGGTTATATTTTATAATGGTGACATAAATTGTATTATAATTATGCACTCGGTTATAAAAGCTCGTAAGAGCTTATATGTTCATAAAAAATGACGATTATTTCTAAGGTATAATGTAATCATAGTTTGAGGTTCCTTGTTTCATTTTCAATATATAACGGGCTAGAAACACATACAAGCATTAAAAATGAACAAGTAGATTCTTTTATAATCCAGTGCCGGTTCGTTTCTTCAGTATAAACAAAGTACTTGTGTACATAATGTAGAGTATATATGAAAGAATTGAACATGAATAATTATAATGTTCCGTGAAACATAGATTTATAAAAACTACACATTAATGAGATTTTTTCATCGGTTTGCTGCTCTTCGTCAATAATATTAGTTTTGTTAACATTTCAATAGAAACCGGTGCTTACTCGTGTAGAAGCAAGGGAACGCAAACTTAACCGTATAAAAGCCGTTTTGTTTAACAACCGTGAGTTTATTGGGACAATGTGTACCAGTTTCCATGAGAATAATTATTTGATACAAATCAAATAAATAAATAAAGTGGCTTACAAATAAATAAACGGCGACTTTCAAGTTTTTTTTCCGGTAGATGAAAAACTCGGGTGCTAGTTCGTGCAATTTTTCAGGCATTTGAGTTGAACAACTTACGTTCCGTAAGATTTCTGGTTAGCTCTCTCGCACGAGAGACTGTAAAGACTATGGCGGGATTCGACCCCACATCGGCTTTGAAGTCAACAACTTCAACCACTCCACAATGGACGCCCATATATATTTAAAGAGTGTAAAGCGCTATTCAATGAAACATTTTCAATAAATGTATAAAAGAAAAGTAAAATCATTCTATGTCTATATTCTCAGAGTCGTTTCTCTATAAACATAAAGAGAATAAAATGTTCAGGAACAATAAGTCACTCTGGGAGAATTTTTGACTTTTTACCGTTAGGAAACTATTTCGTACATGTGCTGCTCGCTCCTAGTGAAATTATCAAACATATTTCTTACCTTTAGCTTTTTGGGAAGCATTCTTTTTTCAAACAACTTCTTTCTTGTTTACTTTGGAAGCATTCTTTTTCAAGACAACTTTTTTCTTGTGTACTTGTTACAATTCATGTGTATTTCTCAATTCAATATGGGTTTCTAAGTATCCACAATCAATGCAATTAATGAAAAAGACAAAATAATTATACTTTAATGCTAGCAATCGACAGTTTATTTTAAATTGGCATTAGTTAAAGGAAGATGAACATAACTGAGATAATTAACCTTCAATATTAACAACTTAATATCTTATACAATACGAAAGCGCATACCAAGTATATATATATACACAAAATAAAAGATGCGTAAACCAACAAAACAGCAAAAAAAACAACAACAAACAATCAAACACATAATCAACAAAAACAAAATAAACAAATGAATAATCTCTAATCCCACACAAAAATTGAAAAAGGAATACACAATAAATATCACAGTTATCTTCAAACCCTTATATGTATTAAAGGGATGATCAGAATTGTGCATATTTTATAACTTGATTGAAATTTTTAAAAGTCAAAATTTGAACACGCCCAAACTTTAAATGCTGCAGGCTCAGCATTGGTAAATTCAAGTTACAGTCAATACCATTAAAACAGAGAAAAACATAATCCCTACACCGCAAAATTGGAAAAATTTAGGCTCAGTTTGACTGAGCCTGTTCATGCGCTGTACTTGAAATTGCAAGTTAGCGTTCACGCCCCCTAAAGCAGAATTCAACATTTAAACACTTAAGACTGCTTTTGAATGATTTAAACATGAAGAAACTGTTTTGTATATGGTTAAATTAATTGTCACTTTCATATATATATTTATATATGTATTTAAACCAAATATGTTTTGATTTTTTGCCTAATTTGTCTTTTACAAACAGGGCACTCTGCAAGTTGTTCGGCACATATCATACACATTCTATGGTGAGTACAAGGTAGAAACAATGCATTCACAGCGTTAACTTTACACGTCATACAGTACAGCAGGCTCTTAAGGCGAATATTTTCTTCTTTCATTGATCCTGGAAAAAAATATCTAAAGTAGAACAAATTCTTTTTTGTTTATTGCAAATTTTCATATAAACATATATGGATATGAACAAGTAAACGACTAATTGAAGGAATAAACGTGCACACTCTCTATTTAAAAAAAAACTATTCTATGACCTGTGCCTTGATCTTGTTAAGAAACGGTAACCTAGTTAACAAATACCTGAGTGATTGTACCTTCTCTTTTTATGATTGGCTTGTTAAATAATTGTTTAAAACGCAAAACCTTAGGAAAAACTAATTATTTACAATATATAACTCAAACTCACCTGGTTTGTCAACACCTGCTTCATCCTTTTCTCCAGTCTCTAAAGTATCAATGATCTCTATAAGTGTTGGTTTGACGTTTCCTGTAGAAACACAAAAATAATGATATCAATATTTTACCAAATAAAGTCAATTTAATCTAGTTACACAATAAAGATATTCGGTCATACATAATTGGACATTTCCGGTTTTTCGTAGCGGAACATTAAGCCACACCTTTTCCATTCATTGCTAAGTCAACTGCTCACAAACAGTATCACAAACATAAGCACGTGTTCTTTTGTGCAAACCATGTCAACCAGTGACTATGTATCATCTCAGTGTAGCGATTAGATAACAAGTTACCAATTTACATTAAACTGTAAACACCGGAACGGTCCATTCTAGCTTTACATAATGCTTGATAATTTGGAAACAAAAAATAATACCCTTGCTTGCCAATTTCCTTGCAGCAATTTCAAAATCCTTTTCTTTATACCCCATTTCCAAACATGTTTCTCTATGGTCGTTAATATTCGCATTAAACTCATGGTCTTTGAACGTGAGGCGTTCCATTTCACTCGAAATATCGGGGCCTGCTGATGTATTTGCCGGTTTCTCTTCAGTTTCTAGCCTTTTCTATTAAGTAGAACATATGTTACATTTTAATTCGATGCCATATATGAGTTTTAATTCAAAAAGTCTGTGTTCAAATTGTGTTAATGTATTTCAATCATTTCAAAAGACAACACATATAACAAGACAAGCAAGCAAACTACACTGTGCATATCCATATCGGTACCCTCTTTGCGAAATCTGCTGAAACGGCACCCTCTTTGTACATGCACAGGCCACTCTCTGCTAAAAACAAACCAGCGATGGATATCAAGCCAGTAAACATTCATTGCAATAAGGAAAGGAGGTATGACACGTGGAAAAGATGTATACCACGGAAAAAATCTGCGATGGATAACCATACAGTAAAATTTCAATATAATAAGGAAAGAAGGTATGACACGTAGAAAAGATGTATACCACGGAACACTAGAATGTTTTATCTATGTACTGATTTGCCATGTGCCCGTTTTTCATGTACTGCAACTTCACAATAAGCTACAAAAAATCGACATGTCTTACCTCGCCCATCACCTCGACATACTTTTCGGGCTGAAATGAACAAGTGGCTTGATTATGTGATTATGTATGCATCATACTTATTCAATATGTTTATTTACATATCATCTTCGGACAAATGGCAGTACATTGTCAAAAATAAATGTAAAATTCATAAAAACACCCTACTTTCGGTTTTGCAGCGGCACGGGCTACCTCTCTTCATTTGAATTTTTATATCACAGGTACCCTCTCATTTTTAAACACACATAGGTACACTCAATGCACGACATATGATTTTATTTGCGTTAATCGTTAAGTATGTAATATTTACATAAAAGTAAGAAATATTACATACTTAACGATTAACGGAAATAAAAGCATATGTCGTGCCTTGAGGGTACCTATGTGTGTTTAAAAATGAGAGGGTACCTGTGATATAAAAATTCAAATGAAGAGAGGTAGCCCGTGCAGCTGCAAAACCGAAAGTAGGGTGTTTTTATGAATTTTACATTTATTTTTGACAATGTACTGCCATTTGTCCGAAGATGATATGTAAATGAACATATTGAATATGTATGATTCATATATAATCAAGCCACATGTTCATTTCAGCCCAAAAAATATGTCGAGGTGATGGGCGAAGCAAGACATGTCGATTTTTTGTAGCTTATTGTGAATTTGTAGTACATGAAAAACGGGCACATGACAAATCAGTACATAGATAAAACATTCTAGTGTTCCGTGGTATTCATCTTTTCTACGTGTCATACCTTCTTTCCTTATTATATTGAAATTTTACTGTATGGTTATCCATCGCAGATTTGTTTTTAGCAGAGAGTGGCCTGTGCATGTACAAAGAGGGTCCGTTTCAGCAGATTTCGCAAAGAGGGTACCGATATGGATATGCACCGTGAACTATCTTGAAATAAACGATTCATTAAAGTCAATTTTAAAGTCATATTTGACGCTAAGTTATGTTGAGTATGTTAAATTACCTGTATTTCATGGGCGGTAACTGTTTGCACAAGTTTGACATACTCTTCTCCCTTATTCTCTAATACAAATGGACATTCTGGGAACCACCGACAATGCTCTGTCCAGGGATCGTCCTCAGGGTCCCACTTTTTAAGCCCACCATCGCATGCAAAACATCGTACGTGATCGTCGAAACCTGAAAACATTTAATCCACCTGTTGATATTTTATAAGTGAGTTAAATTTTTTGTTAATATTTTATGTTTAAGCATTCTCCCCGAAACAAAACAATGAATTGTGTGTTTTTCATTTCACTTATCAATAACATGTAGAATTTGTGATTATGAATTATTAAACTATTTGTGTTAATTTTTGCAAAAAGTTAATTGTTTTAGATGTGAAAAGCGGCATAACTCTAGAACTACCTATCACTTAGTTATGCCTCTTCTCCTACACCAATAGCAACACTAACAGTTTTCTATTTTCTATTTATTCAAATGTTGACAAAAACATCTGATGTAAAAATAGAGTGGAATATAACATCAAAGTGGAGTAATAAGTTTCAAAACAGGAATAAAGCCGTGCCTTGACATGCTAAACAAGTAATTCAAGTCCATGTTTAAACCTTTAATTCATTTATATACTATGCTCATGTTTGGGTAAAATATTTTCATTGCAGAAATTAATTGAATACTGTCTAATTTGAATAAGTGAATGTATAAGCTTCATTTCCTTACTTGTCAAATTAATTTGGTCTGGTCTTATAGAAAATGCCAGTTTTTTATTGACACTATGTAATCATATTGTGCCTACTTGTATTGTGTATTTAATAGACGTTTATTTTACATTCCAAAAGAGACTATAGTAAGTATAAGTGTTTTTTTTCAATTATTAAATTTAAGCAAAACATATCTAATAATATATAAAACATATCTTTCGGGTTAATGCTCCTAGTTGAACAACGTTGCCTCTTTATGATAGACAAGTATCGTAAATAAGTATCATGATAATACTTGTGAACGTGTTTGAGAAATGGATTCACTATGATTTTAAATGACGATCACGACAACGATGGCAACACAGCGTCTCTGTGCAGCAGGCGGACTAAAATAGACTTACCAGTATAGTAAAGTCCAGCTTCGGCAAGTTGTACTGGAGTTTGCATCAAACTCATTGGCCACTTACTAAACGATGACAGCCTTATATTGTAGGAACTATATTCCGGATGTCGATATCCTGTAAATCATTGTAGAATATATACCACAATCGTTTAATTTTTTTCAACGCAACTTCCTTTTTAAAGAAGATTATAACCGACACTTGCAAAAACTAAACCCATAGCAACACATATTTCGTCAAAAAAATCGGTTTTCATGTTTTCATTATCAATCACATTACAAACGTTATTGATAAAAACATTGTTTTTGTTTTCAAGGATACTAGTACCTAAATTATTCTAGCATTTCTGTCAGTCCTATCTCATAAAATATGTTGCCCAAATTAATTATCTACAGTATTTACATATGTATTACAAATTACGAGCTGGTTGCTGCAAATCATCTTTTCCAAAGTAAATGGAATTTAGCTCATTCATTTTTTTTCAGAAGTTGCACAAAAATGTTGCAGAATTGAATTGCAGTTTTCCAAATAAATGCATTGATAGATATTTGAAATTAAATGTGTATGAGTTTGTACAAAGGACACAATCAGCTGAGTGAGACATATCCAGCACAAGGGTAAGTAAATAAATCTTATAAAAATGCAATTAAGATACTAGTATTGCTTTTGTGTTGGATTTAACGACGCAGCAACACTGAGCAGGTCAATGGCGACGTTCAGCCTTACTGGTGAAGGGTGCCCTCAGGTGCCCCTCCATACATTATTTCAGGCACGAACAGACACCTGAGTAGAACCACAGACACTCCAAAAACTGGCTAGATAGCTTCCCTACATATGTAAATGCCAAAGCTCCTGGCGGGATTCGAACCCAAAGGGGTGAGGGACAAGTTGATTGAAGTCAAAGATTTTTGCTTAATAAGATATTAACGTTATCGAATAAGCTACTTACTGGATGTTTCATTCACAGACAACTGAATATCTTCACTCATTACTTTCTTCTAAAACAGAAAACAAGGCACTTATACTGGAAACATGAACTATGCAGGCACCTACTTACAAAAAATATAAAAGAAATATTATATTACACCTCCTTAATTTATTTTGAAAATTAAACTGGCTATGTTATAAAAAAAAGTGAAACAATAATCAAGAACTATTTGACCAAAATATACATGTATGTACCAAAATTATAACAATAACACAATAAGTTTAGAAATAAATAGAAAGATAGAAATGAGGTAACTTGATGTTTTAGGTTTAGAAGAATAAGATATGACAGTATCGTCAAGAACTACAAATTATAACAAAATATGCACATGTATACTTGTTTTACCTTGATTTGTGACAGAACGTCTTGACCAAGGTATTCTTCAAGATAAATACATTCAGGAGAATTGTTAACATGCTCGTTCAGTGGATTGTCCGCAAAGGAGAAGTCCTTCAGACCAATCCCGCACTGATAGCAACGAACAAGGTCTTCTTGATCTGGATAAAAAACAAATTAAGTTTTGATTGATGAAAACATTCCTTAAGTCCTTATTGTTGAATAAATTTGTTCTGTTCTGTTCTGATCATCATTACATAGGATTTTAAAACTGTCGTAAACATAAGGTAACACAAAAGATGTGATTATCTTAATTTTCATTCTTTTGCAGTATGATTAATATCCTTACTTGTGAAAAAGAAACCGGCATTACATAGTGTTGTAGGGTCTGGCTTTTGTTTATACCATCTGGCGAAAGACTTTAACCTTTGACCGTAGTCTGTGTATTCCGGATACCGAGGAGGTTTCATAAATCTCTTCCTTATATTTTGCTCTGTGTTTCGACGAGTATTGCTCTCTTCGCGAGTAAGTTCATGTTCAAATCTGTAAAACTGATTAGCCTGAGTTGTTAGTGCTGCACCAGCTCCAGGGTGTCGTAGAATTGAGTTGTTTCCTTGGATGTATGATATTGATCTTCCATTCGAGAAAACGTATTCGTCTGTACTCGATCCTTCTGCCCGCTGACTTGGGTCGGATGTGACGTCTCTTCTGGTAAAAGAGGTTTCGAATAATCTGCTCCTGACAATGGATAACATATAATTGTCCGAACATTCGTATCCCGAACAGGTGCGGGTATATACGTACAAGATTTACATTCGCGCCGCGGTTGCAGTACTTTCATGAACATTCTTTTGCAGGACATTCTGTAACCTGCAGATTCGTTTTTCCGTTTTTTCTTCGGTTTTCTTTGCTCGTGTGTTTTGTCTCTAGCATGCATCCTTGATACAGATGATTTTAAAGACGCGTTTTTGTTGAAAACCTTATTTTGTTGCATGATTTCAGGTAATTCTGAAATTGAAATAAATGTATTAAGCCTATTGTTTCCAGAGAAACATACCTTAATATCTTTTGTTTAACAAAAACAAAAGCCACCACCGAGCGGGGGTCATTCTAGACTTTTTCTCATCTAAATTTCAAACACAGCAGAAGAAGAAAATTGTACATGTAGTTAAATGTTTTTTAAATAAAGCATATTTTTGTGTTCAGAATTAAAATTTCATATTTGACCTTAGGCATACTTGAAGTATTCAACATGTCGATGTCCACGATCATTTCTGAGGCATAATGGTCCTTAAAGTCATTCTAAAGTTATAGTTAGTTTATGAGTGAAGGTTAAGTTCATTTTAATCAATTTGATCGATTACAAAGTTATAGCTAGTTTATGAGTGAAGGTTAAGTTCACTTAAATCAACTTGATCGATGTTCTTTTCTAAAGCGTTGTTGTGATCGTATATGACGGCAATTTTGAGAAGTACAAAAATATGACCAATGTTAAAGTTTTCGGACGGCAACAGTAGACTGATAACAGCAACGTCAACGTCAACAAAGTCATGACTTTAACATGGCTAGAATAAAAATAGTCGAGCTAAAACTGATTTCATTGTTCTAAACTTAACTTTGTATCTTTTTATGCGCTGATCCACTAAAAATTCTTAACGCTCGTGTATCAAAATACATGTATAAGAAGTATTTTATGCTTACAGGTATTAAATTTACAAAAAATCGCGTTTGAAAAGAAAGTCGTTCTCGGGAGCCTTTTTTATAATCAAAGAAACGTTTTGTCATAATAAAATAACTTGCTCAGCAGTAATTGATTAAATATATGTTAATTTATATGTTAAATTTGTATCGATAAATAAAACTGTACTATACATTTATGTTGATTACAATCCACCACTAATAAATAAATAATTTTAATGTATATATTAATCCATAAATATGTCAGTTCATCAAATACGTTGGTATATATCAGTAATGTTTGTTAAATCAATATATATCATGTCAATCCTCTATATGGAGCTAAAAAAAACTATTTCGTAACTTTCGTTGTATATTGCAGTATAAACTTCATGATTCCGGTTTTAGCCTGTATATTATATATACATGATAAGTATATAGTCACTGTAGTCGTATTTATACATGATACATACGATTAACTTGCTGTAGGCTACATTTCTATACTTTTTAATTATGTTAATTGAGATTTGGAATTAGTATTTTGTAAAACTCATATATGCATTAGTATATGGATTAACATGATATATGCATATCAGCTCCTTTTGTTTTCTAAGCAAATAATTATCAAACTTGCCCAAATAATTCGTACAGATCATAAACTGTTCACACGACAGAAACAGGCTTTATAGAGAAGCTGAACGGATAATTAATTTTTAATTTTAATAAAAATCTGAAAGAATAGCTCGTCACATAAAAATTAAGTAGAGTTCATATCATTTATACTCTGATGCATCACATTAATTCTAATAACTTTAATCCAAAAATCTAAACTATCTTCATATTTCGGGTATTTCCATTGAGATGTATTTATAAATCTCTGTAATGTTTATTAATAGAAAAACAATAATGAGAATGATTTATTAATAAGAAATTAAAGAATAATTCATAAGTTCACGTTAATGTCACATGCCAATAGTCCGTCTTAAAAAAAACTACTTTAAAGCTACATTTTTTTATATATTATGCAATTAAATAGCAAGCATGTTGAGATATAAATAGAATCCATGGAGTTTTCCATGTTTTAAAAATAGAACAATCTCCCTTAACATATAACATTTATGTACATTATTCATGTTGATTTTGTACCAAACAGTCTTAATATATGTTTACATTTTAAACTGTTTACTACATACTTCGCAATCTTCTGTAAACACATGACACTTTAGATAAATATGATCCTTATTTTTAATACCTTGACATTGCAAAGTAACTTGTTTTCATTCTGTTCACGTAAAAGTAATACTATCTCACACACTGTTAATTAATAGTTAAAGCGTTTTTGGCTTGCAGCCGTAGCCACGGCTGCAAGCCATTTCATATGGAAAACTTGTTCCGGTTAGGTGGTTTCCTGCTTACATCTGTTGGTGCATGATTGAACGGAAAACCAGATGCAATCGTGCCAATCGCAACTTACGGCCTTTTCCGTCACTCTTTGGATTAATGATAATAGCCGATGTAGTTCCGATTGCAATCGTGACAATACGGGCGATTCCATCATACTGCGGAATCAGACGAAGTAATATTACGGAAATCTAAGCTATTTTAGTTACTACGGTAATCCCAGTTTGTTTATATAAATAGGATTTCTATTTTTACTCTATTTATCGGTTTAAACCGTAATAAATTATATACGAAATTGTTCCGTTTCAATTGTTTTTCAAGACGCAATAGTTAGTTTCTTTTATAATTGTTTTTTTTGTCTGTATTAGTTTACAAATCACGCATGATCGAGTTATATTTAGATCTACTGAATGCAATTCAACTTTTTGGTGAGGTAATCTAAAAATAGCCGATGCATATCATTAACCTTGCCACGTGCTGATATACGTATTTGTTATCGTGTAACATATAGTTCATATGTAGTTGATACAAGCTTATTAATTGGTACCACGTAACGAAGTAATCTAGTGCATTTACTTGTCTATAAAGCAAACGAATGATTTTCTCTGCGGAAAAGGGGAAATGAAATGTGCACACTTGTTAGTTTTATACAATAGAGAATAGATTTCAAATCGTTTTGACAAAAAATATTCGTTTTTCAAAAAAAAAAAAAAAAAAAAAAAAAAAAAACTAAATTAGTAAACCCTTTATGATATACAAATACCGTAATTCAAAAAAATTGTGATAATAAATTGGAGAAAAAAATACAACACAATTTTAAAGGGTGTGGATGAAGGCACAACACTGTGCAAGCCTTTCCTTTTAAAAGGAAACTTTATTTTTCTTCAAATAAAATGTCATCAAACGAAATTTTTTTAGCGCACGCTCGTACATTTATATGGAACTAGATGATTAATACATGTCTTATCATGTCGTATAATTTACTTGCTATTCACTTAGTTTACTTGTAACTATCATTAAAATAAGCTGGAAAATGAGAACCCGCCAGATAATCACTCGAAATGCCTATCAAGCCAGCGTCCGAAATCAAATTTTCAATGATGCTATGTTGGTTTAATAACTTATCTAGTGTATTGATATATTTTTTTATATCGAAAATAAGTTAAAAACTGGTTTTCCGATAAAAATATTTTGAAACAACATTACAGACAGTTCAATTTCAGGTTAAACAGATATTTTAAACAATTAAAAGTCTATTTGCTTCGTGTTTGCGCATAATTATATAAACTAATCAAATTAAAACATGTCAAATTGTATCCAACCTTTATGCTGAGGCCTGCAGGCTAACTTAAAGCCCTTTGTTAACCCTTAATTTTTTCGAATTTTCCCGTGGTAGGTCGGTATCTACACGCAACTTGTCCACAACGCCTGATAGTAGGGATTTTTATGCGAGGAGGCTTTTCATCAAGCTTACGTCGGTTTTCTAATTAGATGACCGCTCGTGCCTGAAATATTGCAGGGAGGGGCACCTCAGATTTTCATCCACTGGTAAAGCTGGAAAATCGACATATGACTTTTAAACCGTTGGCATGACAGAAAACTGTACAAGAACAATAAAGGAGAAGAGGAATTTTAGTCATTGATTTTTGCTACAAATTTGTGTACAATTTAATTTTTTTTTTTTAAAAAAAAAGCTCTATTTCTTTCTTCGAACTGTATGTGTTTAGACAGATAAAATAAATACAAAATTATATTTGTTAAATGAGTCAAATACCACTTCGGTGACTAAAGACATAGACATGTTTAAATATGTTAAAATATAATCAAATAAAAATCAGGTTTGTGTTAGGATGGTCAGGAAAACCACTTTATAACACTTTGTAATGTCTTTAAATAATTAGTTAACAAATTTCGTTTAAAATAAGAGTCTGGTATTTCCATATGTTACAGAACAGAACACATAGTTACTATTTATGGATTATATATCCAGATTACACTATACAAGTATAATGTATTATTATATGATCTTATTATAGCTGCAATCTCATTGCCACAGAACATTTTAAAGAATCATATTCATTGGTACACTTGTCAATAATTGTATAACAACATGTGAATAAAATCAGTATAGTAAACAAAATCAAATCAAATGGGTATGAACAATGGACAGTAATAATACGTTATACAATTAATCTTTAAAGTTTTTTTGTCATATGGGTATTGCAGTAAATAAATTTTGACAAATTGTAAAAGCACGAGAAAAAACAGGTGCCCACGAAAAAACATCGTTTTCTTGGTGGATGGATATTACAACCGCGTGATTTCATATAATAACGAAAAGAAAATCATGATTTGCGCCCCAGTTTTATTACAAGAAGAAAGGTTTCTTATGAAAAATGCTTTCGGTATATATTATATACATGTATAATGTCATTATAATTCAATCTGTGAAAAGACTTTACTTAAAAGATATAATACTTACATCTAGTAAGTACTTTAGTAATCAGGAAAACCATGCTGATATAGTTTTGTGCTTTAATGTATTCTTTTAAAAACGTTTTGTCAACTTTCAAAAACTGTCAGAAACATGTGATTACGCATGTTCATGATTATTCAGTTTGCCTAATCTGTCAGATTTGACTGTAATGTCAAACAGTTAAGTATTTTTACAAAATATTGAGAAGTTAAGAATATTTCCCAAATGGTCGAAATATCAAAATCTGTATCCCGTTTATCGTAACACATTTTCAAAATCTAGTTAAGTGCATCCCACAATATTTGTCACGCTACAATATAAATTCGAATAAATTATTACGATCATCATAATTGTACATTAATATGAGGAATGTCATGGTACTGTGAATGATATTGTAAGCTAGCTTAAAAAAACAAAACAAAAAAACAACAACAAAAAACAGCCGATCACAGACATTTTCCACCTTACCAATCCAAATAATCACAGAAAGTGTACTGTATCAATTGTGTAATATTACGTAATACATGGGTCATAAAACTTTATCTTAAACATCGTGTAATACTGACAACAGGTGGTTTAATGATACTTTTTAAAGAGGACTTTTGTATGCGCATTTTGGATCATTGAATCAGTCCCGCATACATTTAAATATCAAATCACGTTTTACGTACATAGCCTTTAACGTCATGCCAAAATTACTAATTTCTGGTGACATAATATGAAATCACGATTCATTAAAGCCTTTAAGTATTAGATAATAGAAAATAGAGTTCGCATTCACAACTTCAGTACTTCCATAATGACATTTTAAAAACCATGATGAGACCTTTACCGAGTAATGTATAGGAAGATATATCGAAATGGCGCCTTTCAGCTCACTTAAATGCAAAAGATGGTTAAATTCATATGCTTGTATACGAATTTTATTTTGGTTAGAATCGAATGCATTTTAAAACTTATGGTGAATCATTTAGATTATATTAAACTGAGCTTTTTTGCTGCGTACAAAATGAAAAAACAAAAACAATTACACGTTATTCTAGCAGCAATACATTAATATTATGTGCTAAGTATTGCATGGAAAACAATTATATACAAAATCTTTCAAATATTTTTTTGTTGTTATTTTTGATGTATTTCAAATAATCATGCAAAGGAACGCGAAATTCTTTTTTTTTTTGAGGATATGTTAAATTCCCATATATATGTGTGGGATTTTTTTTTATCGTTATTGTTTTGCTTTGGATAGAATTTCGGGTTCCTGAACCACAAAATTAATTATATATTATGACGATACATATAATAACATTATGTATATCAAGTGCTAATCTTTTGTTAAATTTTATAAGTGGATAATCTGTCAGGTATGATAGGAACGGCTAAATGTCACAGGTTACACTGTTGGGAACCCTTTTTTATAATTTAAATGGTTTAAGTTATTTCTACCTCACTGTATTGATTTAAAGTTTATAACTTTTGAACTCAAATCTGTATCATCTTTGTAGTCTAATCTATAATATATTTTTAGGAAATATCGAAGTATCGGTAGGTTTTTCTCTTTTTATCACTTGTAAAGTCGATTTGATTATTGATGCTGAATTTTTCGTTCATTTGTCATATCGTAGATTCAACTATTACTAAATTTAGTTATGACACGGTTGATTTGCTTTGGTCGACAAACTGGTCATGGGTAGATGTTTGACTTTTTGTTTTTAGCTAGTTTTATGTATTATTTATTTAAAGCTATTAGGAAATTTATTTTTGTTATGCTGTACTTTAAATACGCATTATGAAATTTCATGGGATCCTTAAGAGGAAACCCATGCGTTTCTCACATAAATATAAGACCGCCTATGTAATATTTTACCAGAAGTCAGAAAAATGAGCAACAGCTTAGTCGCATTTTTAATTACTCTTTATGTGTTCGGATTTTTTCAAGTCGACGGTAAGCATACAACAGATGTTGAATACAAGATAAATCAAATTTGCAATTAGATTAAAAGATAATTAACTGCATTGTGAATTAATTAATTAATTAATTTATTTATTACGTAAATATTTTGACCTTTTAGAAGACTTATTTAGACATCATCTCATTATATGACTATACATAAAGCTACCTTATGAATTAATTATGAGTATACTTTCAGAAAATATTAACGACATAATCTGGAATGTCTGTAATAAGAACTTTCTTTTCTAAAAGGGTCAAATATATCAATGATAATGAAATCAAGTGTGGTTAAAACGGCCTAATATATTCTTATTTTACGGTAAAGGTATAAGACTTTTCTGCGGATCAAAATTACAACCGTATAATACAGACAGTGAAGAATGTATAGAAGGACAAGTAGTCAGCAAGACTTTACAAAGTACAACACAAAGCGGATTGGCTGAAACAAATTCAGTTTTTCAAACAGCAGATCCCATAAGAAACAGAGTCCGTCGTCGTCATTGCAGGTAAAATATCGAAAAATACATAGATATATTAAACGATATTTGTTTTTAACATGTCATTGAATTAACGAATACAAAGTAGTTTCGGGTTTTTAGTAATTTAAAAATTGGTGCCAATATGAACAAATTTTATTTAACGCACTCTGAATCACTATCATAAATGGAAAAAAAAATCAGTTGGTCTTAATAAATAAAGCTTTAAAAAATGAATATATATTATAAGTTTGATTTTTTTGCAAGAATTGTGGTTCTGTTTTCCTAATGATTTGTAGTGTCTCATTAAATGTTCCATTGACCTATATAGTGATGTTTCGAAATTTTAAATTAGAAATCATTTCCATGTATAAATGTTTTACGTTCTGTTTAGTTCTAAAGAGCTCGATAGATCACATTTACTACTGTTGTCAATGAACAATCAATCTAAATGATAATTTAAATGATTTTGGGGCGTTATGTAATAGAAAGAGCACCGAAACACGAGGTTATTTGATTTGTACGAGGGGGCGTAGTCCCCCCAGTATTAATCAGATTACCGAGTGTTTTGGCGTTCTTTCTCTTTTGTATCATAGTCAAACATAAAAACACGTTCCCTGTTGTTACAATATGAAACCCCGGCAAAAATGAACCAATGAACGAGCATCTAAATATGACTGTCGATTTTACTTTCACTGCCGTCACAATATGTAAACCCCAGCAAGAATGAGCCAATCAATGGGCATTCTCTGGAGTGCGGGTAACTAATACCCGCACTCCAGTTAACGCACTGTGCATGTATATGTATACGATTTAACCCTGACACATTTTCAACAGAAAGGTATCCAAACTATGATACAATTGATATATAGATATTTATATCTTGTAGAGATAAGGACGATATATTGAGCTGTAACGATAAAATACACTGTGGGCGTCACGAAGGTTATAAATGTTGTGGTTTTGAACGTTACAACCCAAACATCCAAACATGCTGTCAACAATCAAGTGCCATGTATAGAATACATAATGACAGACCCGAGGAAAGTCACATGTGAGTAAAATAAAATAAAAAAATAAATCACGTGAACTGTGTTATAGAAAACATGTGAAGTACAGTGTTAGGAAAATTCACTCTCGAATGAATGAATAAACAAATAGGACAATAAACTATCAATATCAAATGTGGCTTTAAGAGTCAATACTTATCTCGTGTTTCGAAATAAAAATAACTACATAACATTTAGTCTCTATCTTTATAATTTTCTTTTGCTTTTTCATCTCATTACTATTCTTCTTACATTTCAAAAATAAATAAGTCATCATACTTTTTAAAAGGGATTTATTTTTTAGTTGCTGTCAGTTGAATGTACATATACGAGGATCAAAAAGCATACCATGTGCGCACGTGACTAATAATGATATGTTCTTGCAAAAACCAAAACATCTGAACAACCTTAAAAAAGACCAAAGGCTATGCAGGGACTCGTTTTATGGTATGAATAAAGAAAAAATATGTTGTACTTGATCTTACTTATATAATTCATATAGTTTACATTTAATGTATCGCCTCCGTGGTCGAGGGGTTAGAGTCGCTGACTTCTAATCCAGTTACCTCTCTGGCGTGGGTTCGATCCCCGGGAGATGCTTTGGTACATTAGCGCGGAGGAAGGTTGCCTAGTACTGGTGTAACTCTCCAGGAACGATGGTTAGGAAACTACCCGCCTATATGACTGAAATACTGTTGAAAAAGGCGTAAAATGAAGCAAAAAAACAAACAAACATTTAATGTAAATGCAAGAGTAACTTATAACTATAACTTATGCACAGTGTAGCAAAGTTTGTTAGAGTGATTTAGTAAAAAGGCAATTGTAAATTCATGACATATTTAAGTGATTTGAATAGTTTCATTTTTTAATGTACTCTCATTTGGATTTTAATTTGAATTTTTTAAACTTTTATTCTAGTCTTCAGAATCGATTTAAGGAGTGGAGGACGCGGCGTCACGGCTGTTGTACGAATGTGGGACTGGAAACCTTCAAAGAAAAAACTTAGATTGAAAAAGTCTGGAGCGTTAAAAAAGAAAATGCGTATAAAGTTTGATAAACACAGCAAACCCAAAAACATTGCTAAAAATAGTTTTCTGGTAGTTTCTAAATATAACTATATAGAGGATTCCAATCTATATTTAAAAGCAAATGATGTTTTGTACAGGAGTCCTAAAAAGCACAAAAACATGATAAGAATATTGCGGAAAATTCACAACAAATGTAAAAAACTAGAACTCTTACGTGGGAAATAAGAATTATTGTTTTTATGTATTGTAGCACTGTAAGTAAGTTCATACTTTTAGACTATGCTATATACGTGTGCGTTCTGCGAAATATTTGACACCACTCGTCATTTGATACACATTTAGTATTATAGAATGTTAAAATGGCATTTTTACAAGACATATTTGTCGTACATAAGCAAAATAAATCGCCTTGGCTTTTGACTTCATCAGAGTGATCTACGATGGAATGTGTCATGCCTGGAACTTAAATACATATTTTGAGTTGACACTAACAACGGACTTTATCAATATTTTCAATGTTACAAGCGTGACTCAATTTTCTTTTTACATTTTGTACTTTAATAAGTGTCATTAATGAAGTTGGTGCTAGGGACGTGAGAGATGTTGCACTTTTGTGTAGTAAATAGATTAATCAAGCCAGCAAAGTCTTTCAAACAGTTGATAGTTTTCTCCACCTACAGGTTGTTTCGAGAAAATTATAACAATCATAGCAGTACACAAACAGCTTAATAATATGTTTTTGATAAACAGAAGTATAATTAAATAGATAATTTGATAAATAAATGAATTAGTTGGATTGTTGTTTGGTTGGTTGTTTAATTAAGATCGATTGATTGGTTGATTGATTGATTGAAATTTAGAATAATAAAAATATTGTTACGTTAGAAATATCAATAATAGTGTAGTGTATTGTTTTATTTCGATACGTACTCATTCAAGTCAATATCAAGTAAAATTTAATGCTGTCGTACGAATGCAAAATTTATCTAATGATGTGTAATTTAAACTTGTTGTACTATAAATCTGAGATATGGTTAATAAACATTGTGATAACACTTTTATAGTTTGCTTATACATAATGTATTTTAGTTGGATTGTGTAGGAAGCTAAAAACTAATACACACTTTCCAATCCGTTTCTGTGAGAAAATGAGTGTAAGGTCCTCTGACGGAGTTTGAACCCATGTAACTAGCGATCATTAGATTACTAGTCCGACGTGTTAACCACTTGGCCATGTCGCCATTTCTCACTTTTTGAGTTAGTTATAAATACGTATACACTACAAGACTTTATCAACATAATTTTCATCGCATGACATTACAGTACAGTTTTAATTGTCATGTTATCATTGAGGATTTCAGTTTGAGGGACTCGGCATTATGGGAAGACAGATATATACAAAATTAATGCTTGTAAAACCGATTTCATGAACAAGCGTAACTTACACGCACTAGGCATCTCACTAAGACTTAAAAGTTTCAAAGATACCATTGAGTACACACAATCTTATATCAAATTAACTTATATTTATAAATATAAAGAGTAATCATTTCTCTATTTGAGTTGAGGAGTACAATGCAGGGTACTTATCATGATCACCTGTGTATGAAAACCACTGAACACAATGACTGTCTCGGTTACTGTCAATAATAAAATATAACAGATGTAAATTGTTGTCAAGTACTTCATACCAGTGTTGTCATATATTCTTTCGGGATCATTTATTCCATTACTTTCACTTGATGAAGATTGACTACCACTTAAACCGGTGCTATGGGGCGGGTAACATGTTTATCTTTTCAGTATATCGCATTAACAGTCAAAAATTAAATCACATAAGGCTCTGAATTTGTTGGGGTCTCTGAATGTCAGAAAGGTGAAACTTGTGAGATTATAAACCAATTTGTTTTTGTATAGTGCCATCAATGTTTTCCAGCGTATTAATTGTAGTAAACTGGCTATAAGACTTATTGCAACACTGATATCCAATCCAATGTTTATTTGACTTAAACAATTTGAAAAAATGAGTTGCCTTAAATGGGATTTGAACTCCAGACCTCTCGCATCCTAAGCGAGCGCGCAAACCCTCGGCCACTGTGAATTGGTATGAGAATACCATATTATTCTGAATTAGGTAACTGTTGTTTAACACTGATGTAAGTAATCATGGAGCTTACTTTAAGCATGTGTATCTATAAAGAATAAAACAATATAAGAAATCTTCGACCATTCGGGAATGATTTTACTTCAAAATTAATGCGCCTGTCATTTGACCATCTTTACGCAGTGATCTCCCCTGAATTTTCCGGCGTTAGTGTACATATAAAGGAAAGTAACCGCTTCAGAAAAGCGGACTACTTTCGGCATTTGCAATTAATAGCATTAGAGTCTGAATTTTCGGTACCATTATTTGTTTGGTCTGACGACCCAAAGAATTAAAAACAACAAAAACATAATGTAAATAAAAATCAACCTCTCTGCACATACAATTGAACCTTATATTAGGACTTAGGCCAATTATAAGGCCAATGTCACATTAAAGCCAAGGAAAATTTACGAAATATCTTGTGCGGGAACAACAGCTCTCAGTACATTATAATCTGTTTGGGATCGATTATATTAGATTGAATAAATGAGGGATTCTACAGATGTTCAGACTTTATAAATAGTTAGTCTATATAGTGTTAGTTACACTTGTATCATGAAGTCGGTTTCATAAGCATTTGTCTGTCTTCCCATAATGTCGAAATCCTCAATGATTACAAGACAATTAAAACTTTACTGTAATGTCATGAAATGAAAATTATGTTGATTAAGTCTTGTATTGTATTAGTATTTATAACTTACTCTAAACGTGAGAAATGACGACATGACCAAGTGGTTAACACCCCGGACTATTAATCTAATGATCGCTAGTCGCGTGGGTTCAAATCCGTCAGGGGCAAGTCATTGTTACCTTATGCAAGAAACTTTACCCTCATTTCTCAGTACTGGTTGGTTTTCTAGGAACGGATTCGAAAGTGTGTATATAAGCTTATAGCTTCCCACGCGATACAACTAAAATAAATTAAGCTAGCTTAAGGTCATCAGCGTACCCGTTTATATACTATGACATGACGTGAACGCTGAAGATAACCCCGCAGGGAAAGTCCACCAATAATCGTGCCAGGAATCTGACACGCTTGTATTCATTTATCGAACATACCATGATACCTTGATAACATTATAAATTATCTGCTGAGAAGCCAAGGATGGACAAATAAAAATCTTATTACGAACTTAAACTACCTAATAGTTTCCGATCGGTAAAAATTTCGTCACTTGGCCGCCATATTGCCTAAATGTTTGACCACGTGATTACGAGATTGACCTTTACGAACCCATGTTCTTCCAATATTTTTATAAATAACATTTTTTAAAGATATTGAAAAGGGTGACTTTTGTATTCAATAAAATCATATTTAAGTACATTTGTATTAAAAAATAAATGAAAATGAATAAAAACATTATCTTGAATAAAAATATTGAAATCATGTCAACAAAGATGTTCTAGATATAGTACACGACTGTACTCTAATCAGTTCCCGCGAATGATGTCAAACGAGGTCTCGCGTGGCACCAAAATGTCATTGCCGACTGTAGTCGGTGTAATTGATGTTTTACAGATAATAGGCAATTTTTATGACGGTATTAATATTTTGATACTTTAATTGGTTTTTGTTTGTTTGTTTGTGTCATTTTACGCCTTTTTCCAACAGTATTTCAGTCATATAGGCGGGTAGTTTCCTAACCATCGTTCCTGGAGAGTTACACCAGTACTTGACTACCTTCCTCCGCGCTAAACTACCAAAGCATCTCCCGGGGATAGAACCCACGCCAGAGAGGTAACTGGATTAGAAGTAATCGACTCTAACTACTCGACCACGGAGGCGGTACCTTAATTGGTATAGAACAATGTTAATTGGTATAGAACAATGTTTAAATAATTGTTTTATCGTAAAATGCACAAGAATTGAATGGGTCAAGTGTATTTGCAAGTGAAAAATAAGGTTAAATCAACTTATGTTATTCTGGTTAGGTTTCGTAACGGGTCTAATCCAAAACTTTAATGCCGCTTCAGATGAAAAACAAAAATGTAAAATAGCGGCTTATAAAGTTTTGGAAGCCAGAACTATGTATAAGCAAACTCTAAAAGTGTTTTCTCAATATTTATTAACCATATCTCCGATTCATAGTACAACAAATTTAAATTACACATCATCAGATAAATTTTGCATTCGATAAAGTTTGCATTCGTTAGTAATAGAAATAAAACAATACACTTTCATTGAAATATATGATCAACCAACCAAACAACCAATTCCAACCAACTCATTTTTTTATTAAGGATAGACTGATTAAAATTATCTAATTAATCATACTTCTGTTTATCAAAAACATATTATTTAACTGTTTGTGTACTGCTATGAATGATAGACTTTTCTCGAAACAACATGTAGATGGATAGATCTATCAACTGTTTGAAAGACTTGGCTGGCCTAATTAATCTGTTAACTGCACAAAAGTGCAACATCTCTCACGTCCCTAGCACCGGCATAATTAATGTTCATCTCTTAAAGTACAAAATGTATAAACAAATTTAATCACGCTTATAACATTGAAAATGATGATTAAGTCCGTTCAAAATATGAAATTAAGTTCTAGGCATGACACATTCCATCGTACATCACTGTGATGAAGGCAAAGGTCAAGGCGATTTATCTTGTCTTATGTACGACAAATACGTCTTGTAAAAATACCTTTTAACATTCTATAATACTAAATGTGTATCAAATGACCAATGGTGTCAAATATTGCGCTGAACTAACACGTACATAGCAAAGTCTAAAAGTATGAACTAACTTACAGTGCTACAATACATGAAAGCAATAATTCTTATTTCCCACGTAAGAGTTCTTGTTTTTTTAAACATTTATTTTGAATTTTCCGCAATATTCTCATCATATTTTTGTGCTTTTTAGGACATCTGTACAAAACATCATTTGCTTTTAAATATAGATAGGAATCCTCCGAATAGTTATATTTAGAAACTACCAGAAAACTATTTTTAGCAATGTTTTTCGGTTTGCTGTATTTATCAAATTTTATGCGCATATTCTTTTTTAACGTTCCTGACTTTTTCAGTCTAAGTTTTTTCTTTGAAGGTTTCCAGTCCCACATAAGTACAACAGCAGTGACACCGCGTCCTCCACTCCTTAAATCGATTCTGAAGACTAGAATAAAAGTTGAAACATTTCAAATTAAAATCCAAAGAGAAAGTACATTAAAAATATAAAATTATTCAACTGATGTCAATGTGTTATCAATATACCTTTTTTATTAACTCATTTTAACGGAGGTCCACAAACTTGAACTAGAAACTTGCACAAAAGTTATTGGAATAGCCATACATCAAAATGTTACACAAAGATTTTAAATATATTTCCACCCCGTCATGTAAAAAAATCCGGAGAGGAGTCACTTTAACAAAATTTGCTACATTGTGTATATGATCATAAATTACTCTATCACGCTCTTTAAATGTAAACTTCGTAATGTAAAGTACAACATAAGCTTTTCTATATCCAAACCATGAAACGACTCCCTGCATAGCCTTTGGTCATTTCTTAGGTTCTTCAGATGTCTAGGTTTTTGCAAGAACATATCATTATTAGCCACGTGCGCACATGGTGTGGTTTTTGAGCCTCGTATATGAACATCCAACTGACAGCAACTAAAAAATAAATTCCTTTTAAAAAATATGAGAATATTTTTTTTTTGAAAAGTAATAAGGATAGTAATGAGAAAAATAGCAAAAGAAAATTATAGATATAGAAATTAAATGTTATGTAGTTTTTTATTTCCAGAAAACATGAGATAAGTATAAGTATTGATTCTTTAAGCCAAATTTGTTATTGATAGTTTATTGCCCTATTTTTATTCATTGTTCAATGAAGAGAGCGTGTTGTCCTACCCCTATACTTTACATGTTTTCTATAACACAATACACGTGATTTACTTAGTTTTTATTTTACTCACATGTGACTTTTCTCCGGTTTGTCATCATGAATTCTATACATGGCACTTGATTGTTGACAGCATGTTTGGTGGTTTGGGTTGTAACTTTCAAAACCGCAACATTTGTAACCTTCGTGACGCCCGCAGTGTATTTTACCGTTACATCTCAATATATCGTCATAATCTCTAAAATATATAAATATTTAAATCTTATACAACGGCCCTAAATCATTTAAATTATCGTTTAGATTGATTGTTCATGGACAACAATATTAAATGTGATCTATCGAGTTCTTTAGAATCAAACAGACTTAAAACATTTATACATGGAAATGATTTCTAATTTATTTAAAAGTTCGAAACATCACCAATGGAACATGTAATGAGACACTACAAATCATTAGGGAAACAGCACCACAATTCTTGCAAAAATTCAAACTTATTATAGATAAATTTTAAGTTTTATTTATTAAGACCAACTAAGTTTTCCATTTATGATATTGATTCACAGTGCGTTAAATTAATTTGTTCATATTGGTACCAATTTTAAATTACTAATAACCCGAAACTACTTTGTATCCGTTTATTTAATGACATGTTAAAGACAAATATCTTTTTTATCTATGTAATTTTCATATTTTACATGCAAGGCCGACGAAGTACTCTGTTTCTTAAGGGATCTGCTGTTTGAACGAGTGAATCGGTTTCAGTCAATCCACTTTGTGTTGTACTTTGTAAAGTCTTGCTGACCACTTCTCCTTCTATACACTCTTCAATGTCTGTATTATAAGGTTGTAATATTGACCCGCAGAAATGTCTTATACCTTTATCGTAAAATAAGAATATATTAGGCCGTTATAACCACACTTGATTTCATTATATACCGTTTAGAAAAGAAAGTTCTTATTACAGACAATCCAGGTAATGTCATTAATATTTTCTGAAAGTATACTCTTAATTAATTCATAAGGTAGCTTTATGTATAGTCATATAATGAGATGATGTCTAAATAAGTCTTATAAAAGATCAAAATATTTACGTAATAAATAGATAAATTAATTGATTGATTCACAATTCAGTTATTTATCTTTTAATATAGTTGAAATTTTGATTTATCTTGTATTCAACATCTGTTGTATGCTTACCGTCTACTTGAAAAAATCCGAACACATAAAGCGAAATAAAAAATACAACTAAATGGTAGCTCATTTTTATGACTTCTGGTAAAATATTGCATAGGTCGCCTTATATTTATGTGAGAAATGTTTAAATGTATACGCATGGGTTTCCTCGTTTAAAATCCCATGAAATTGCATAATGCGTATTTATAGTACAACATTACAAAAATAAATTCCATTTTAGATTTAAAAAATGTATTATATACAACTAGCTAAAACAAAAAGTCAAACATCTACCCATGACCGGTATGTCGACCAAAGCAAATCAACCGTGTCATAACTAAATTTATAAATTGGTGAATCTATACGATATGACAATAAAACGATGTCACATTCCAAATTTAACATAAATTGTAACGGCACTGCAATAGAAGCGTCCACATCCATGAAATATCTTGGGGTAACTATTGATTAGTACCTGTCGCAGACTCAGTTATTCAGAAGGCTAACGCCAGGTTAAATTTCCTTTACCGTAAGAAAGATTTCCTTACACAGCATACTAAAAACTGCTTGTCAAATCCTTAATTCAGTGCCACTTTGACTATGCCTATTGTGTCTGGTATTATGGTTTACCTCAGGTCTTGAAAAATAAATTGCAGTCAACACAAAATAAAATGATGAAATTCGGTTCATATTGGCCCTTCCCATATTAAATCCCTTAATTGGTTACCAGTTTGTAAAAGAGTTGAACAAATTATGTTATGACATGTTTTTGAAGGTTAAAAACCAAATTGCCCCAGGGTACTTAGGTGATTGTTTTGTTTCTCAGGAATCTGTGCATTCTTATTGCACCAGACTGAGCAAAAAAAGGAGGGTATTGTCTTCCTAACGTTGAAGGTTCTTGGTCAAAGTCTTTGAGTTTTATTGGTGCTAAGCTATGGAACAGTCTTCCAACTTGTATAACTGAAATTAACAAATTTCATCGTTTTAAGGTAGCTATCAAAACTCACTTTTTAAGTAATAAGTTATAAACTTTAATCAATAGTTAAAAACCTTAATTTGCTGAATTTGTCCGTGGTAGTTCGGTTAAGGCCGGTATCTGCATTTTTGCGAAATCAAATTCTGCTAGGGATTTTTTTGCGACGAAGCTTTTCATCAATCCTACGTCGGTTTTCTTATAAGATGACCGTTCATACCTGAAATATTGCACGGAGGGCTTCACCCACTGGTAAAGCTGGAAAATCAACATAAAACTTTTAAACTGCCGGCATGACTTAAACCAGTACAATAACAATCAAGGAGAAGAGGAAGTAGAAGAAATTGACAAGAATATTTTCTTTTGAAATTGTTGATAATAGATGGGTGCTAATTCCGCTGATTACATAAATCACGATAAAGGACTACCTCTGGGTAACAACATGCTGTAGCTAAGTCAGAATAGATAAAGTACTCGGTGCTTTTTTATCATTTATATAATGTGTTGAGTGTTGCTACAAACTGTACGTTTACGACTGTGTACATTCAAAATTCGTACTGTATTTGTTTAGATAAAGAAAAATAGATATTTAATTATATTTGTAAAATGAGCCAAATACCACTTCGATGACTAAGGACATAGACATGTTTAAATGTGTTATAATATAATCAGATAAAAATCAGGTTTGTATTAGGGTGGTCAGGAAACCAACTTTAAGTTGTTATGAAATTCAGCACTTTATAATGTCTTTAAATGATTATTAACACTAATTAAGCTGGTTAACCAATTTTTTTTTAAATCTTAAATGACAGTGTGGTATTTCGGAATGGAAGGACGCAGAGTTAAATGTAATTATAGTAAACAAAATCAATTCAAGTATGAACAATAGACAGTAATATATGGGTATTGCAGTAAATATAAGTGTATAAGTTCGCACGAAAAAAAACAACAAAACGTTTTCTTAGATGATGGATATTACAATGTTAAATAGGATAACAAAAATCATGATTTACGTCACATTGTTATTTCATTCATAAAAAATGGAGCGATGACTATCTACGCAATATACTGACTTAGTCAATTCATAAAATAATAATCTTAAACTATCAACGAAGAATGCGTTACGACATATATAATCTTATCTTTCATCATTTCATACATAAAGCATTATTTACCTTGCTATTACATTTTCATGTTAAAAGACTACAAGAGAAGTATTTAATATAGTTGAGGATGGAGGCAGGTAGTTGTCATTTTCGTTGTACAGTTCGTGCTGACGTAGAGGAGGCCGTACGAGGCCGTGTGAGACAGTGTAACGTTACTGTTTCGTGTCTGCCACGAATGATTCGTACTGGAACCGTATTGGTAGTATTGCCTTCGTTTGAAACTGTGTGTGCACTCGTGTGTGAATCGTATTGTGATCATGTGACATTCGCGTGTTAATCGGGTATTGGATGTAGGACTTGGGGACGGTCTCGAACGATTCTATACGATTTATTTACGATCTTGACACGACTGGGCTCACTCGTGGAGTGGACTTCAAAAACGATTGTATGTACTGTCTCACACGGGCTCTTATGGTCGCTTATACGATCATACCCGGACACGACATCCGTGCCAGCTTTTTAAAAGTTTTGAAAATCATACACCGCTTACACGGATACACACGAATGGCCCGCGTGTTACTCGGATAACGCCTCGTTTGGTTCGTTTACACCTGTACCTGTTTTCTGTGTGAGACAGGCCTTAAGCAAATCTTCGGTGCGAAGAAGAGGGGTCATAGTGTTTAAGTCATTTTTTATAATTATATTTGATTATGTCAACATGTTTACAGTATCTTACAAAAAGGGGCACCTTTACTATAGAATTATGGCCGGGCGTATGTATTCTTTAATGTAAATGACCCCGATCATATTTTTAAAAATATTGATCCTTATAATATTACGACTCAATACATGAAGTAAATTAGTCGAATCTTCAAATGATGAACATTTCCTTCAAATCCATCTTTTAAAAAAATTATTGAATGCTGTTCAAATTAATGGGAATATATATACATGTATATACACATGTTGTAGTTGTCTATCCTGAAGTTTTAGAACTTTCAAAGATACCATTTCGTACACAAAAGCTTGAAACAAATAAGCTTATTTATCAATATAAAGAGGAAACATGTCTCCATTTGATTTGATGACTACTCTATGCGGAGTACTTATCATGATCATCTGGGACAAAATGACTGTGTCGGTTACTGTCAATACTATAATATAACAGATGTAAAATGTTGTCAAATACTTCATCCCAGTGTTGTCATATATTCTTTCGGGATCATTTATTCCATTACTTTCACTTGATGAAGATTGACTACCGCTTAAACCGGTGTTATGGGGCGTGTAACATGTTTATCTTTTAATGAACAGTCACAATCAAATAATAAAAACAACAAGATCACATAATAAAAGAAAGTCAACCTCTTTTCATATACAATTGAACGTAGGTCAATGGTAAGGTGAAGTCACATCAAAGCCAAGGAAAATTTACGAGTAATGCTGTGACGGCATCAACAGCTCTCAGTACTTTATAATCTGTTTGGGATCGATTGTATTAGATTGAATAAATGAGTGATTCTACAGATGTCCAGACTTTACTAATAGTAAGTCTATAATATTTTTATAGTGTTAGTTACACTTGTATCATGAAGTCGGTTTCATAAGCATTTGTATACCGGGTGTATCTGTTTTCCCATAATGCCGAAATCCTCAATGATAACATGACAATTAAAACTGTACTGTAATGTCATGCGATGAAAATTATGTTGATAAAGTCTTGTATTGTATTAGTATTTATAACTTACTCTAAACGTGAGAAATGACGACATGGCCAAGTGGTTAACACGTCGGACTATTAATCTAATGATCGCTAGTCGCATGGGTTAAACCCCGTCAGGGGCAAGTCGTAGTTACCTTATGCAAGAAACTGTACACTCATTTCTCAGTTCTGGTTGGTTCCAGGAACGGATTCGAAAGTGTGTCTATAAGCTTATAGCTTCCCAAACAATCCAACTAAAATAAATTATGCATAAGCTAGCTTAAGGTCTTCAGCGTACCCGTTTATATACTATGACATGACAATGCCGCATGAGATGAAAAACAAAAATGTTAAATAGCGGCTTATAAAGTTTTGGAAGCCAGAACTATGTATAAGCAAACTCTAAAAGTGTTTTCTCAATATTTATTAACCATATCTCAGATTCATAGTACAACAAATTTAAATTACACATCATTAGATAAATTTTGCATTCGATAAAGTTTGCATTCGTTATCAATAGAAATAAAACAATACACTATTATTGATATTTTTAACGTTACAATATTTCTATTATTCCAAATT